GTTTCGTCCAGATTTGAACCTTGGACTGTGGACATGATGTGTTTAATTTAATGTTAGGCTAAATACACCACCCCACACCCGACAGGTAGATGCTAATATATTAAGATAGCTGTCACCTGAAAATAACGAATATGTAATATAGTAAATAACAAGGAGATCAGGTAGTTAGATCTTTATTTGATGGGCGCTAAAAGTAGTTACTTAACTTATCAATTAAAATTATTTCCCGCCTAAAAAGAATAACGAATTCCTGTTTACCTACAATTAAATAGGCAGAATTAATAGTGTATAGGAGTTAATTTTAATATAAACATAAACTGTATAATACATAAATTATCCTCTCATAATGATTAAGCATAAAACAAACAAGAATAGACTGGTTTATTTATTACTCGAACCAATGATTTTTTGTATAAGCAATTTTTTATCTGTAATGGTAGAATAAGTAATTATGTTAACTATATCGTGTGTTATAATAATTATCTAAAAAGTACATATTTATTTATTACTTAAAGATTGAATTAAATATTATGGTACAATTTTTATAGATAATTTCAACCTTCTATAACTTATTAAATGTCTTGCCGTTAAAGAACACAGGCCACAGGACAGATACACAAATTTCTGTAAATAAATTAGGTTACTGAAAACGGCCGCAGAAATGTGTTTGCTTTATACCCCTCAGGAATCATTAATCAGGAAGGGGAAATCACTTCTTTTAGTTTTATTGACCATTTTGACTATCTTTGAGTTTTACTGTTTTGAAAATTTTTATTCATTTAAACATGTAGGCTTTAAGAATTCTAAATTTTATAGCTTATGGTCATAATGTAGCTTGAGACATATTGTTCCCAATAAAAAGAATGGAAGAATCGTGTAAAATACCTGAATGACATAACTAACGTTGAAAACGAAAAACCTTATAAGCACGTCGCGTGTGCAATAAAATTGAATTACATAAGAACTATTTATGCATTTTGCGTTATGCAACATCAATAAATTCTCTGAACTCTTCAATTCCTTACAATATTCTCGGCCTTCATAAGATGACAAATAAATATTGTCAAGCTGAATTGTCGTTACACGTACCTACATTCCAATTAAGGTTCAATAAGTCGTTTCATATTCCATGTTGAATTTTATTTGGTTTGTACCTACCAACTGCCTCCATCCCTAATGTCGAGAAAAGTTATTATAGTTTCAGTCAAGCAGGGTGCTGAAGTCTTTAAAAGTCGACGCGCTATTCTGGCGACCCTGCTAGCAAACGAACTTCGGACAGAGAAATAGAAGACACATATGCCTACATGGAGTAGACATTTGTGTTCCTCAATAAGGAAAATTGTTTTAAAACCAAATGTTCCTACATCGAGCTGCTTACATAATATGCAAATGTAAGAAACGTAGCTTCACTCAATAAAGGCCACTCTAAGAAGTAAAAAAAAAATTACAAACAGACCCCTGATATCAGAAAGTGTGCTCTAATCTGTGTGGTTAAAACCGACCTAATTTCTATTAAACAACGAACCGAAGTTTTAGGTAGCAGCAGTGATCGTGGATTTTTGATATGTTTTATCACGTCAACTTCATACAGATTGTGTAATTGTTAGTTCTTAAGACTTCTCTAATTGTTAAAAACATCTTCACGAGATTGTATGTTATGGGTATGTAAATTTTTAACGTTATCACGCATTACGATAATCCTGTAAAGGTCGAGTAAGTTGCCATAAGTCAAAAATAAAAACTTTAATGGCACCATGTATGTATACTGAAACGATAAAGTTTGACTTAGGGATTTACGTAACGTATCCTTACTTGTATTTTGAACTTTACTTTTTCCTTGTATGTTGAAGGAGTCAATTACACTTCTGTCCATATATAAATCCTACAGAAATACTCCTACCCACGACAACAAAAAAAACATTGCATCACTCGGTTATTGGTCGTATTATGCAAATCACGGGTCACGGCTTTAGTTGTAGTGTATCTTAAATCATATCGCCACTAAAATTGTTAAATTGTGAAATCAAAAATTATTGTAAAAGCTGTTTTAATGATATGGTAGACAAGTCATCTAATGGAAGACTTCACCTTCGATTAACATATCTATACTAATATATAAAGCTGAAGAGTTGTTTGTTTGTATATTTGAACGCGCTACACTCAGTAACTACTATAATAGAACAATATTTTTGTGTTGGTTAGAGCATGTATCGAGGAAGGTTATAAAATATTGTGCTAAGATTAATAGCAGCAAAGAAAAAGCAGGAAATGTGGAGAAAATTATTCACCTTTGTGGGTATCCGTTGCGTACGCTGCGAAAACGGTTCTAGATACCCAAAAAAACATTTTTCTTTTAATTATCTAAAAAAATGTCCGCGACACTTTATGTCTATCTTTTAAGATTGACTCGCAAGAACGACGGGACGCTATCGACTTCGTGGGTCGTGGCCATTGTTGATTCTCAAAATAACTATTTTACGCGGACGAAGTCGCTGACACAGCTAGTTAATAATATGTGTTCTCGGCCTATTTTGACATTTATAGATTCAAAAGTCAGATTATTTCTTCACGTATTTTTCCTTTTATGGAATAGTTCGTGACACGGACGGAATTTCGATATTGCTACCACCTAAATGGGTGATAATATCGCAATTTCGTCTCCTATTGACCAGGCATTTTAGTGGAAAAATACACAAATTATTTACATTCATTTAATATAAAACAATAGTTATAGTTACAGTTAAATGTTATTTACTTTGACTTTAGCAAAGAGTGCATAAAATATCGATCTCCTACTTACGTTATAATGGTTTTGAAGGTTTTTTATTGCCTTTAATATGCCTTAGCTTAGAGGTTTTTGTTAAGTTTAATGACACCGAAGCAAATTCTTTATATAGACCTTAAAAACGAGCCGTCCAATGAACCTTATTCTTTGCTTATTTTATAAAATACTAAACGAGACCGTTTTTTGAGAAATAATGTAACTAATAAATTGTTTGTTACATTAAACAACGACATAAATTTTATTTAAACATTAAAAAATATTTTCATTTTAAATTACTACAAAGATCTTATTTAATTAGGCTGAATTATTATGTATGAGACATATAATAATAAACATTCTACATATGAAAGAACCAAGAAATTAATGAAAGAATATAAACCATCCAGAAACCTAGAAATTAGGGAACAATATGTTCCTACTAACATATACATATACATATATTCTCGGGGTTCAGTGAACAGAATTCGGAACAAAATATGCAATTAACAATTTGTTCTGGATATTGTAGCTACAGGTATAGAATAGACGAAACTTTACCTGAAAAATGAGGAACAAAGCAAATGATTCAATATCTACCTGACAAAAGTAAAAACCTCTCACGTGTCTTACTTTTTTATTTGAGAAGTTCTTCCACTAGTCGATAACTCACTAGCCATTGTATTGGCTTGTTTATTGTTTGAACTTCAACTTTCATCGACAATGCTTGTGTATTATTACGTTTCCATGCTGAGTTGATTCACTCTAATATTGGTTTAATTAGAAGAGCTTGGTTGAATTCAAAATTAATTAAATTCATACACTTTTGAAAATTGTATGAAACATAATTATTTACGATTTTTTATTTCTATGTATAAGTATATTTTTAATCAATTGATTCACAACCAGAGATTAGATATGTTCTTGAATAATTTGAATAGAAACATAATTAAGTCATCGTGTTGTACTACATTGCGCAATAAATGCTGAAGTAGATGATACTATGCGAATGACTTGCAAAAACTCAATACCCGAATTCTTGCAAAAACTCAATACGAATGTCGGACGAAGGAGTCTCAATATGTTTAAAAATACATTAAAGAATTGTAATATTTATTTATAAAAATAAAATTTTAATATATATGTTAATTCATTACATAAAAGCAATCAATTGTACTTCTGTAACCAATATTTATTAAACTTAACACACTGTTATTTTTATAGATAACTCTTTCCGTTTGAAAAATAAATTTAAGTTTGATATATTCATCATATTTAAATGAACAATTTTAATTTTTTTTAATTGTTCTACTGTATGTAGGTATTAATTTTAATTTTTTTATCATTAACAATTAAAGCAATTAGACTACGCGGGTGCTGTTCTAGGTATAATTTGTATGTGTATTTAATTTTAGAGCAAGTTCCTTAAGCGTCTATACGTGTTAATTTTTGTACTTTTGTATGTTTTTGACCATGGCATAATATATTTTTCCATTGCATTTATTTAAACAGGTACTCAGCTTAGAGTTTCGCGTTTAATATGCGAAACTCTGCGCTGACTCCAAATTACAATGAGATTAAATTAAAAGTCTGAAGTTAAAAGCACTTATTTGTTTTTTTACTTTTTCTTGTTATGTGAACATTTAAATATCCATTTATTTATAACTTTTTTTTTAGACAGAAAAAAAGTCTAAATTGATAAGCACATTATTTACTTTAATTCTCTCAAGGAAGTAGATAAAATGCCGATTACTTACTTGAAGAAGACTCGACGTTTTCCTAAAGTTTTAGACAAGGAATAATTAGCTACAAATTTGATTAATAAAATAAAACACATAAATATCTCTGTACCTAATGTTTATTCTTTTATTTTTATATGTCTAAAACTATTTTGCTACTTTAAATAGTTTATCTAAATAATTCGTTATCTGTGTCAAAAAGCTTAAAAAAACAAACTAGCACTGATCTACTAAATAATAACTTATGTAAATTTAAACAAAAACAAATATGTATTTAATAGTTATAAAAATTAAAATTAATAAAAAATAGCAGTATGCTGTTTATTAAAGCTGTAATGTGACAATACCGTTATAAGCTGCTTGTAGAATTGCCTTTGGCCGTTTAGAAAGTATTTAGTGCCTAAGAATAATCTCTTAGTAACTTAGTATTATGTACAATGATATTATGAAAGAATTCCTACCATTGCAGATTATTTAAAATAATACAAATCTGAACTTACCGTTTACTTAAGCTATCCTTCATTGTTGTAAAAAGTCTGTAAAATCACCTAAAATTACTGAACGAAACCTGTTCGACACGATATTAACCACTCATGCGGAATCAGGGTAGATATATTCTATAGAAAATTATTCAAAATTAGCATCACAGATTACGGTAAATATTTCGACTTATGAGCAAAAATTTTGTGTGAACGCGATCGATTCCGATTTTCGCGCAACGTCGCCGCGACGGCGTCTTAAAGCAAGCTAAGCGTCGAACGACTGCGGTCTCGTAAAAAACTAAATACTAAATTAGGCTGCGGTCTCCTATTAGCGCAGAAAGCTGTATGCAGCGGCTATATACGCCGCGTTACGATAATTCTATTGGTCCGTATGTCTATTACGCGTCGACAGCATTACAGATAAACAATTTTTGCGTCAAACAACTAATGCGGGAAGAGATGGCTGTCTGCGAGTTTTATATGCCAACAGCGTATGAAGGAGACTACAGCTGGGATCACGTAGGAAGTGACGTTTGGCGTTTATAGGAGACCACAACCTAAGCTTCGCCTTCGTAATTTTGCACCGGATAGAACCGTCCTAAACGTCACAATGCCCGCGATCAGCACACATGGGCCTTGAATTACACATGAGTTCGTACTTTGCTTATCAATATGACGGACCCAAGTTTTAATCGTCTCTATGATATTAAAACAGTTGGGCAATCGAACGATACTAAGATGAAAAAGGGACTAAAAAGGCCCTCAAAAAAGAGTACCTACTCGCCGGTTTTTTTTTAATATTCATAATATACGTCTAGTATATATTACTAAAATATATTTATTATAATTTTGTGTTAGTTATAACTTCAATAAATTTAATTTATAACTGTTTCACTTTATCAATATAAACTCAATACACTTTTATCGTACAGGAAGCCATAAGTTAAATACATTTAAGCAAACGAAAAAAAATGAGGAACTCAAGCAGTACGAGGAAAATGTATTAATAATCAATTCTGAAACTTAAATAGTACCATTATATAAGTTTTATCGTTGTGGTATAAAAATAAATAAAATGTTAGAGTAAGATTTTTGTACATAACATCTATTGCAGAATTAAATTTCCTAATTGCTATACATTGAAAACCAGTCTACGCAATTTGATCTAGATTATAATAATTGTACGAGACCTTCGTTTATTAGATTAACAACTTATTAAACATGTCAATTCAGTAAAACGTGATAATTTGTATATAAATATTAAATTGTTAGTGTTTTGTTGCTAAGACAACTTAGTACAGCTTTAGACACTAAGCAGTAGGCATTTAAAATACGTATATAAAATCCAAAGAGCTTATTATAAAAAGTAAATTTATAACTCAGTAAAGGTGTGATACTTATATATATTTCTTGATCTGCATTTTGAAATCTCGTTAATAATAAAATTGTAATTACAAGACTGTAATTGATTAGACTTCTGACCTAAATTGCAGTGGCAAAAAATTTTTTTTTATGTTTGTCAGGAATTAAAAATCAGGACTTCTGCCTAAGACATTAACCCAGGAGTATATAATATTATTCATTCATTAAAATATTTGTTTTCTGAGAAAACAAATGAAAAACATCTTAAAATAATGTTTTCTTTACTGACGTACGAGTGATTCGTAACAATACCCAAAAGTACTTTAAACTTAAAACCTAAAACCTATGTTATAAAGGTGAAATGTTAGGGAATTAAAACGGTTAGTTAGTAAGGTATAACTATTAACTGAAAATAGCCTCATTTAAAACTTAATTTACATTATGAAAAAAGAAATAGGTAAGCAGGTACAACAATAAAATATGGGAAATTTTAATTCTCATTGAGATTTCATTTTAAATAACCGAAAATAAATACTGAATCGACTGTCAAATACGGTACGAAGTTCGCCGAGACAACTAGTATTATAGTCGTACATATTTGTACTTTGTACCTACGTATGATAGTTTTTGATACGTTTTTGATAGTTGTCTTGCCCCCGAGGCGATCGATAATTTTTGTTGAGCTCATCGTAAATGGTACATCGTAATGGTATTGACATTAACATTATATGTTCTGAAGTACATATAATAATTAAAACGATTAAATTCATACCCACTTATTGGGTTATTTTACTTTATACTAAGTTTTACAAGCGTCGTTGCTCGGGTCGAGTAGCATTTTAAAGTAGCTAAAAAGAAAGGAAGTGAAGAAAAGATGTTCTTAAAAATTATACATTAAGTGTCCTTTAGGATATTTTTTTACTTAAAATATTCTATGTTACTATTATCTAATAACTAATTGTAAAAACGCGTTGGTATTTATTTTATTAGTATGGACAACTACTATCTTTTGATCGCTTGATTTTATAGCAAATTAATATTACTGTTGACATTGAAAACTGTTTATACGAGTAATATATGTACGTAGATGTCAATTCTTATGAAAATTACAGAAAACTAATACGATTAATAAGCTGGTAACATGTTTTTGTTTATCCCAGTGCTCTTGCAGAAATTATGAATGTGTTTACATGTATTTATGTTAATAATATCATATTATTTTAGTATTTCAATACATTGCGCAATTTTGTTGTGAAAATTGATTATCTATTATTACAGATACAGCTAAAAAGATACATACAGACAACTAATCATATTATTAGTAATACATATTAGAGCTTATGAATACAGAATATTACAGACTATAGCATGTCTTCAATATTTGTGCCTGAAAAAAGACTTTAGCCAAAAAACTTAACAAAAGATTTGCTCTATAACTTCTGGTAGTAGGGTTTTTGTTAAATGTATTCTTTCTATCTATACCTTTTTATACACCGTACATTGAACGATTCGACCGATGTGAGTGAGAAGACGTTTTCGACGTTTCGCCATCACGTGTGGACGGCATCATCAGGAGATGTTGACTCCTCGATTGCTCGAACAGCCCGAAAGACAATGATATGCTGAACGATGGCCGTGAAAGCCTTACACAATTTAAGTAAGATTATCTTTGTAACACACTTGAGGTGTGATCTTACTATGATTAACGATGACCCTACTAAAAAATGCTGAAAATCTAAACAATTTTGGTGTAGAAAGTTGTCGTGTGGTTACGCAGAGACCCATCGATAATAATAGTTAAGTTTAATAAATATGTTTACCATTATAATATATTTCGCATTTTAAACCGTTAAGGTGTGTCATTTAAATGTAAATTTAAACAATCATATATAAAACTTTATAATGTTACGTATAAAGATATATATGTATCAGGTCGGGTGAAGTCGAAGTCACATGAATTTAGCTAGTGTACAAAAATTTCCACCATAATATTTACTTAGATTTACGGTACTTACGTAAACAGATGAATGTTGTTACTGTTTATAGATCATGTTTCATGGAATTAAAGCAGTAGGTAACAGTGAGCTGTTTATTCCCATGATTTTATCTCTGAGTCAGTAGACTTAGTATAGCTTCACATTTTAATAAACCATATCTCTTTAACCATAGATTGGTAAGTACAGTGTACATCACTGAAAAAAAAACATGCGAGGAGTATGTATGTTACATTAAATTAAGGATGTCATTAACAAATTTTAGCGGGTCGAGCCTCAATCGGGCACCATAGGTTTATCTCTATATACATTATGATAGATCCGATCTATACCTATACATATATACCATCAGAAAAATGCAGCTGGTAAGCGCTGTGGTGAAGTTAAATCTTAAAATGAGAAATAAGTAAGCTGGATATATATAATTGTTTCGCCTAAAGGATTCCAGGTTGTTAATCAAGCTGGACTCCTTTAATAAGAAATGGGGAAGACCGCTCAAGAGGTGGCGGGACAACTTTAATAAAACTGCTTGTTTACTGGGAAAATGAGGAAAAGCCAGAGCTGAGCTAATGAGGACGCTTTAACAGATATTAATTAGTATTTATAATATCAACAAAAATGTAATATAAAGTTATTTTACTTCCTGTTTCTTAGTAGGTCACTACTAAAAGCCCTACATTAAAATGCACAAACAAGTAGCGTTAATGAAGACCGGAGCAAGGCATAAACGGGAACCAGCGGTACCTCTGTAAGAAAGCTGCAACTTATATTCAAATTCTGATTGCAACAGGATTCCTATTGGCCAGATATTCCCAATAATTGCAACGATGACACCATAGTTTGTCACAGATGTATTTATAGGGCGTGCATACACGAGACGAGGTGATAATTAGAAGCGGATTTACGACCGTTACATTTCCTAAAACTTCCGTATTGTAAACAAGTGTAGTAAAGTGTGTCATCGGTGCGAATTCAACCTATAAAACTGATGACTTGATCCTTCGAAGCTTAAACCAGGGGCAACGTCCGAGCCCATAAGTTATCACTAATAATGGCTAATACAAACATATTTTTTGCTTTGATTGCATTAGTATTAATCGCAATATCTGTACAATGTACACCTCTTAACGATCAAAGACTTGCCAATGAAGACACCGAAGAGATGATGGAGACAGCACAAGCCCAAAATCCATTTATGCCGCGATTCGCAATGAAGAAATTCAAGGAGAGAAGAGATCGACTTCGTGCTCAGAGAAAACACCAGCACCAAAGAAGCTATCAACCGCATTACCAATACAGATGGTCTGAACCCTATTATTATTATGTAAGTTTATATAACTCTTTATAATCGTGTATTGTTCTACTACTGGTATGCTCATGTAGAGTAGTTTGTCACGGCTCATGGATAGCCGTGACAAACTACTCTCCGAGTCAAGAAATTCTAATTTATATAACTTGCTTTGGTAGTTCAAATATATGGTCATTTTAAAATTGTTTTATATTTATGGTTAATATGTATTTGAAAATTTTAAATTGAATACCTTTTTAACTTGTCATTTACCAACCGTCACGTGTCAGTCACAAGTAACTTTATATTCAGAAATTTCTTTTAACTCGTAATGTTTATATACTGTATACGTACTGAAACATGTAATGTAAATGTACTGAAAGTCTAATGGCGTAATTATCTTTAAATCTATTAGGGAAAATGAAGAGCGGCCCACTGCCCTAGTTTAAGCGTAACCCCGTTATGCCACAAATATCTAAAGGACGTGCAGTACATTTCTTCGACTTTGTCATTCTAATTATTTACTCCAACACTCAATTATCACCTTTCTTTTCTCGCCCTACATTTTTAAATATAAATGTCGATACATGTTGTTACATCTTCATCTGTCACAAACACTTACCAAAGTGCGTTCATTTTCAGTAAAAATGAAGATACATCTAGTTTTACTGATCCTCGGGATAACCATATACAGGAGCAACGCATCTAAAACAGACATCAATTCACAGAAAGACGAAGTCAAATCGAATATTACTAAAATTGAAGAAAAGTCCTTCGAAACTAATGTAGATCAACCGAACGACGAATCAACTGTTGATGCAAACGTTGATATTGTAATTGAAGAGAGTTTAAAGACTCCTTTGATTGACTTAATTCCAGAAAATTCTCCAGAATTTGATTTGATCGATGGATCTTCTGTCGGCGAAGCTGATTTCTACTATAATGATGTAATCAATAGAGATCCTAACGAAATAATGGAAACTGCTGCTGGATTCGCACCCCTGCCGTTTTTAAAGAAAAAACGGAAGAACCAAAGACCGCAGAGGCGCTACCCAACCCGGAGATATTACCAAAATCCCTATTCGTACAGACGATTTCAATATTACAATCCGTATATCTATGGATTTTATAGGCCTAGCTCTCTACCATATTATTATTATTATTAAGACTATGTATTAAGGTAATTTAAATTAAATATATTGCATAATTCATCACGTTTATTTTTCACTTATGATACATATGCTTTTTAAAGGACTTATTCTATCAGTTGAACAAGTTCTCTTTGAATTACACTTTTTGTATACTAGCCGTTTTTATTAATAGTACTTTGCTATACGGAAAAAGTATTTGTTACTGTATCACATTATTGGATAACAATTGTTGGAGTCCCACCGAAGCTTATATTTTGAACAAATTAAATCTTTAACCTTAACCTTGGTTCCTATACAATATATAGAAAATCGTAATTTATAAAAAAACCTTTCCAAGCGAAATCGAATTTATCATTTTGTCTTCTTATTTTTTATAAATATGAGAGCGTGAAAAATGCTTGGCTTAGCGTCCGTCACAAGTTAATTTGAATAACAAATTCGTATCTGACATTGATACCTGCATATATGGAGTGCATACTCCATATGCATAGAATTCAAAAGGATTTTCGACATAAAAATGCTTATGTTAATAAAAATATACGTATCTACTAAACCTCATACAAGTCATAATCCCCTTAATTATTATTAATAGATCCATTTATATTTAAACAATCAAAGTACGTATGTAGCATATAAGTAAATTTCAAATATAATAATTTAAACATGAATTATACTGTTTTATAACTTATAAATAGACAGGCATAGTTTCGTACGTGCCTTGCGAAATTTAAATAATTAAAAAAAAAACTTATTTACATTGATTAGCAAACAAACTAATAAAATTAGGATAAACATATTAATTATTCTGTTCACCTGTTTTGTAAATATTATTTTACGTAAGTTCGATCTTATAGCACAATTTATTCTGCTATGTAAATACGCAATGATACATACAATACTTAGCTATTTACTTGTACTAATCATATAGGACATTCATAAGAACTATTTTATATATTGTGTGAGTGCTACTTTTTTATTACTTTCCTGGACCAACTAAGGCTTCGTCCATAAGTTCGTCGTCAGAAATACAAGGTGAGTTTGAATGGGGTGAGGGAACAACTAAAGGAGAGGGCGCGGGGCTTTTGGCTAGTTGCAAGAGCGCAGGAGACGGTGGGTACACAGGTCGGACAGCGACCATTCCAGAAACTTTACTACCGGAAGAAGACGAAAAGTCTAATAGCATTTCTGCAGCTTCTTGAGGAGTCGTCGCGCCACTCCGCGGTACGGATCCACTCACCGGTGGTTTCATACAAGAATCCGCACCTTTTCTGTCTTCAGAACTTCCTTTCGGAGCGGCAAATCCCTTGGCCATGTCAGTCTTAAAATCCAATGGCATTATTGGAAACGACCCAGTATACGGATCTTTCGACTCGTCTTTACGTTGAGGACTCGCACCTTTAGCCAAACTATCCGTTATGGCTTTGGAAAAATCCGTCGGTTCCGATTTAGTGACTAATGTTTTTGGACTTACACCTCCCATATTTAACAAGGGCTTTGGAACATTCAGTGGGTAACCAGATTTTTGCATTTGGTCAGTGCTTCTATTTGTACTGTCGAAGTGCGGGAGTGGGTATTTACTTTGCTCTATAGACCTCGAAAAATCATTTACCATTGACCGACTATCGTATTGCGAGACGGGACTATTTTTCTCTGGAGCATTTAGATTTTTTAATTTCGGAATTTGGAACTTGCTCGTGTCTAGAGGTTTGATTAAACCTTCGACCAAAAAACTTGCATCTTTGGAACTTTTAAATCTATCACCGTCGACGTCATCTCTGGACCCACTAGGGCTAGAATGTCGTTCAGATTTAGAGGAGAATATTGATTTCTCCGAGTTGCTCATAAGTTTAGTTCTTGCTTTTTCTCGTTCCCTGTCACGCATAATTTTGGCAAGATCAGAACTACTGCTTTTGGGTGAGCCTGAACTTGTTTTAGAGCTAGATTTCGATAAATTGATTCCTGCAGTACTGCTGTTAGAAGATTTAGAGTAAGGCACTTTGGGTGAAGCACTCGCACTACTCGAGGTCTCGGAGGGGCTCAAGTTGGCTTTTGGGGGAGTGGACCCGGGAGTTAAAGATCCCGATTTAGTAGATTGCATTGCTTGAGTTTTTTTGGAGGCCGGTCCACTTATGACACCAGGTTTCAGTCCAGTGTGAGTTTTGGGTGAGCCTTGACTCGGTGGTGTGAGTTGAGGGGATGATTGTTTACTTGATCCAGAATAATTTAATTTCGAATTACTGCTTGACGACTCTTTGGTTCTAGTTTTGTTTATGGTTATTTTCATACCATCTAAACTGGGCTTAACCATATATTCTTGGTTTTTGTTTTCGCTTATTTTTAAGTTGCTGTTAGCGGTAGCGTTTTTTATGTCATTAAATTTGTTACTGCTGTTTGAAGATGATGCTTTAACATTCGCCAATTCCGTGTCGGTACCGCAATGTTGAGCTGACTTTAATTTGTCTATAACGGCACTTAAGGAGCCTTTCCTGTTTCGGGCTTGGCTTGGTGCATTTGATTTGTTTACTTCCACATTCGGGGGTGATATCAAAGGTTCTGTAACAGGGCTGTCGCATGAAACAGGTGTAATTTCAAGTTGTTTTAATTTCATCGGGTTTTTTAACTTAGGGCTGCTTCTGCCTGAACTAGAAAAAGATAACCCAGAATGTTTCTTCTCTTTATCTCTTGAAGGCGTCGAAGTGGAACCGTAGCAGTCTTTAGATATTTTTTTAGTAAGATCGTAACCGGTTGTACCCGATTTACCTGAAGGAGAACCGCTAGTTGCAGACTTTAATGTAGACATACTGGGCTTCCCGGACCCAGAAGAGCTATGTTTAGGAGATGAAATAGTGTGGTTTTTTGGACTAGAATACCCAGGCAGGTGTTTGGGGCTACTTTGCAGTGGCGAATGTCGCGGACTATTGTGATGACTTGAAGTTCCAGAAGGTTTACTCATTCCCTTTACAGTATTAGGGCTGGGCGACTTTGTGATAGATACCGATCGTCCATGCGTAGGGCTGGGACTAAATTTTCTCAAAATTGAGTTTGGGGATGTCGATCGCATCGGAGAGCCATCAGTAGGCTTAATACTAACAGATACTGGTTTTGTAAGAGGGTCCTGTTTAGGAGGCACTTTTTCCGGGGGCCCCATTGAGTCATCACGGCGTCGCTTTTTCTTTTTCTCTTTACTTCGCTCTTCACCTGACTTGCTCGATTTCTTTTCAGACCGGATGCGGTCATCCATAGACTTCATCTGTGAACTTGTAATGGGAGTAATGGTTATAGAACTAGGCAAGGCAGCCGGTGGCGCCGCAGTGATGGGGATAATTTCAATTCCGGGCCGTCTATCGAGGCAAAGCATAGAGGACAAATTTGAACCGGATCCAGAACCAGATTGGCTCGAGTTCGAACTGATTGGGGTTATACTAACAGAAGAGGGCATATAGGACTTGCCGTCTGTTAGGTCTAGCAGTAGTGATGATGTACTTCTACTACGTGACTCGGATTCTTTGCTTTTCAGTTTTTGCCTTTTGTGCTCGGACTTATGAAAAGAATTCCTGTAAAAAAAAGCTTAGTTTAGTAACATTTCGATGCTTCATGGTGTTTACACATACTACAACAATATTAAGATATCTATTTTTATTAGAAACATAGTTCATGTGAAGATCTTGCTGGAAATGAATGTTTTTTTTTGTAAACGATTTAATTAGGATTAATATTAATATTTTTTAATGTAATCGAAATTATATTTTCGTATAATCTATATTTTATTAAATTAAATTAATTATATTAATACCTGATAATATCTTCAACATCTCCATCATTTGAATTGTCCATATCTGATGAATTTCTATTGTCCTGCCCGCCCAGAGCATCTGTGTCCATTCCAGACAGTTCAAGATCAGAAGCAAATTCATTTTGGGAAACAGATGACTCCTGCCCCTCAATATCATCATTTGTAGAGTTACTATTCATAGTATTATCATCTTCGTTGCCGTAACCATCTGAATTGTCACTCTCGCTATCAGAATCTCCCAGGTCAGTTAATCCTGGTTTTCCTTTCTTCTGTGTCGATGGCCACATGCCCGAGTCCGATTTACGTTTTTTGGACTTCCTGTCGTCTGGCATCTGATTTTTTGAGTCACTATCCTGGCACATCATAGATAGGTGCTGCTGTTGCTCCGAAAGGTATGTTCCTGAAAAAACAAAAAGATTAACAGGAAAGTACACTTTCTTTTTTTGCTAAACGCTACAAACAATAAAAAATATACAGAAACATAAATATAACAAACAAAAAATTTGTCATATATACTTTTAGATATGTAATTGCATCTATTTTTATAGTACTATATGTGTCAGTGCATTTATAATGGACTATAAAAGGAAATATTCTCTTTGCGATAGACATAGTCAAAGTATGAGAAACGTATTTCTGATTTTTTCCTAAAGAAAGGTATTTATGTTATATATAAATATGAATTATTAAGATACGTACCACCCTGATGGGGATGGGAGACAGAGGAGGGATACAGTGCCCGAGCGTGCGGCGAGGGGGAGGGGGATGGCTTGTGATCGCCACCAGGGTCGATGCCACCCAGGCCGCAGCTAAAATTTGACTCTAGACCAGAGTAGCCGCCGTTCATTTGTTTTGCTGCTGCTTCACGTTCCCAGATTTTAAAAAGCGACCTGAGAACAAAATAAATACCAATTAATTCATGACTTTTCTGTTTGTCTGTATATAATAATGAGTATAAATAGCGTTGACATTAATAGTGACACAAGGTCGACGAAATGTAAATATGCCTGTGTCAGCGATTTCGTCCGCGTAGAACAGTTATTTTGGGCATCCAAATTTGTTTTTGAAATCCTCTTCATTTTTATAAATTTAAGCTGTTACCAACGACGTCGCGGACATTTTTTATATCAATTAAAGAGGAATTATTCTTTGGTTCATATTTTTTAGGTAACTTGAACCGTTTTCGCAGCGAACCCCACAAGGATGAATAAATTTCCGTTTTCTTCACATTTCCCGCTGTTTCTTCGCTCCTATTAGTCACAGCGCGATGTTTTATATATATGCCTATAGCCTTCCTAGATACTTATCTAACCAACAAACCATTATATAGATTATATTTACCTTAATGTAATCGGTATTGAATGGCTCTTCTGTAGCACTTTACTGATATAATCGTCCACGTGCTCTCGAGCAGGCGAATTGAGCGTGTAGACAGTGGCGCGCGGCGTTGCCGGCTCGCCCAGGTCTAGCTCCACAGTTGCCATACTTTCATCTAGCGGGTGCTCCAGAGAAATAGATATATGTTGCCATGACAACGCGCTTACTTCAAACATGGGGACGCTTTCCAGGTCGACGGCTGGGAAACAAACTTAAAATTAAATTTAAGTTTGCAAAAAAAATGGTTTACAATATTTTCACACAACTTCCGTTTCAAGACTATATTTTCAGGTATATTTTTTTTATTTGACATCTCGATTTTTAAAGTCGTTTCGATAATCGCTTCACAAAATGATTACTCTGCTCTAACCTAGTAGAGCTACAATAACAAACAAAAGACTTACCATGTTTAGTCTGTGCTCGTACGCACGAAGCAATGAGAGCATTGAAAAGCGCCTGCTGACGAAGTGCGGCAAGAAGTTGCGGTACATGAGAGGGATGAGTGAAGGGTATACTCTGCACTATACACCCGTCTAGGCCACGACGCTCGCATAGGAAATAGCACTGCCACTGGTCCGGGAGTTTCTGTGGAACATTTTATATGAATATATAATAATTATTTGTAGCTCTTTCCGGGGTCATTATTTTGCTTAATTTTAACATATTTTAATTTGCTATATTCGAAGTTCGAGTTAAAAAAATATTGAACAGCTATAGATACTCAAATTCATTATTATCTATTACTTTAAACATATCATAGACATGCAAGATTTATTGATTTAAAAACTTCTACACCAACAATATTAATAGGAAGAATGTGGTTGTGTGTTTAGTACTTACAACAAAAAGTCCCTTGGTGAGATTCAACTCAATGGTTTTTCCCGGTACCAGACTATTGTAAGATTGTTGAGCTATTAATCCTAACATGGGTTTAGAGCTTGACCAATCTCCTGCGACCTCCACCTATAATAATATAAATTAAAAATACAGGTTTTCATTGAATGGCAATTATGTTGGTCACGCTCCACAGACATTAAATAATTATTAAACATTTTTCTGATGTAATAATAAATTTTATGTACTTAATTATTTTTGTTTTTATTGAGACAATATAAAAACCACAAACTAATAAGAAATCTCCCTACTAGGGCCTGTAGAATAAATATTTGTTTTGGCAAAGTTGGCAACTAGGCCTCACCCATAACCTGAAAGCTGGATACAATCTTGTCTTTATTATAGTTAAATGTCTTACCTCAGTTATAGCATGGAAAAGCTTTGCTAATCCTGCACATAATGGCGTCGGCTGAGACAGTTTTAGTGTAAAGCAAGCTGGCAACATTGCACTGTTTTGAGGCACTAGTTGGGCATAAACTGGACCACTGTTGAACAAATTTTACTACATGTTTACATACTGTTAGGCGAGATGATCAGTCATCTACTTGTAACAAGTTAACTCGAATAAATTGTGTAAGCCTTATACGGCCATCGTTCAGCATATCATTGTCTTTCGGGCTGTTCGGCCGACGTGAGCGAGAATAGGTTCTCGACGTCTCGCCATCACGAGCGGACGGCATTATCAGGAGATGTTAACTCCTCGATTGCTCGAAGAATTAATAATTAATGAACAGCCCGTAAGACAATGACAAACTTAACTCTATCTCCAAAGAAAAAAAAATACTCGTACAAAAGTAATATTTCTAATAACAATACATTTCTCTTTTTATGTTATGTCTTGTATTGGATATTAATTTTAATCCGCATCAACTATGTAAATGGGAGTAATTTTTATCTATGAGGTGTACAGTGTCTGTTTAAAAATTATTAAATGCGTTATTTCTGCAAGCAAACCGGAAGGTTTGAAGGGGACACAGGGAGAGTTGGATGACCCAAAACCTCTACAAGGAGGAAATGGGGAAATGGGTGAAATGGTCAGCTGATAACGTGGACTGATCACCCGTCCTACCACAGGTGTCCCCGAAAGAAAATAATAATAAATGCGTTATTTTAAATCATAAACGTTTCAATATACGTGTGCAGTGCTCAAACATTATGAAAACATTTGAATCAGCATAGCATATTTTTTAAGAAATAAAAATATGAATGTTGTATAATAAAGTTACAGCAATATTTTTACACTTTTAGTATTTATCATTCTAGTGAGTTAAATATAAGCATGCTTAATAATATTTTGACAAGTACTAAATAATTCTTACCCTTTACCAGCTCGCTGACCTCCAGAAATTATCGGTGCTAATTGTAACTTATTGGCAGTTGAACCTTCTAGAAGCACAAGAGCAGAGTGTCCAATTGGAGTGCGCGTTGGTGTTACAAGCGTCGCAAGACCATTAGAAGAGGCCGGTCGACCTTCTGTTAGTAAATCTACTGTCAGTGGTTGTAGACCTTTATCTTTATCCAAAAGCTCATAGGGCGATACAAAGTATGTGAGACGCATTGCATGACCTGTAAAGCAAAAAACAATTTATATAGATCTAGAATATAAATAATATAATTTTCTTCAAGACCCTACCACTATTCTTTTTAACTTTGTTATGTGTTCAACTACAACAAGTATACATTAATTTTCCATTGTTTATACATAATTGCATATACTGCCTGTTTTGAATGGCGTTTTTCACATTTATGTGTTCCTGTTATATTAATTTACCTCCTCGTCTTCTTTGTAGAAAGCCAATGGGACTCTTGTGTACTTGCATCCAAGGATCCTTGATAAAGCTTTGCAACTGTCGCATAGTACATAAGTCTTCTTCTAAACTTTGTAATGCACTAAACGCTTTGTATTTAACCTTAAACATGACATGGTATTGAGTAAACATCTTTAAATTAAAATATAAGAAAAAAAAGAAAATCCTGTTTATTTATTTCCCTTCCACACAATCATATAAGTTAAGCTATTTAATGTATTTGGTATTACAGGCCTTAGATTTTAATCACGAGAAAATAATCTTTGTTCAGAAATATCATTTAATTCATCCGCTACAGCAAACATTAAATGTTGTGATAAATTAGCAGTTTTACCTTTTTTTCAGCATTCAATTGGTAAACAGCAATGAGACCCTCAAGTTGTGCTGTGAAATCGGTAAAATCACCCCTTGATATGCACTGTACTAATTCTTCGCAACTCTGTTGTTCTATCTGTAAAGTATAATACGGGATTCTATTATGTTCTAAAAATTTATGTATATTTTAGCAGAGATAAAAAAACAACATCTGTTGAAATTCATTTCAACATCCACTGTTTATGTGATACATATTGCAAAGGAAAGGAAACCCAAACAGAGTATTAATATTTCAAAACATTGGTGTTTCAAACCAAATCATAATGACTCACCTTTCCCTCGTGATGTACTTTGACATCTTTTACCGAACCAGAAGATTCCACAAGTATTTCTAAGTAGAACATATCTGAGGAAATAAATAGATTCACACCAGATGTACCCACAACAAACTTTAACCTGCAAGAATGATATTTACATCAGTGAACTAACTAATAATCATTTCGACATAAAAAATAAATAAAACTGTATTTTCAATAAGGTAGTTGATCGACTTTATATCTAAAAGCATTGCATTACAAACAAAAGGGGTACAATAAAAAGTTTTGGGCTGGAAACACAAGTCTGTTCCATTACTTATTTATTATTTGTCACAACTACTTTAACTCTGCAGCAATAAAGAACCAAAAGGGGACTTCAAATACTAATCTTTTATTTTATTAGACTACATACCCCAGCTGTCGTGACAGACATTCCAATCTTTCTATTAGACTCTGCAATGAGCTTACTTTTATGCAATGTTGTAAGCTATCGAGGCATTTCTGAAGAATCATTCTGTCAGCGCTGTCTACAGCCCAGCGTTTATCCTATAAACAAAAATATTGTTGATATAATAGAGATTTTTGTATTAAGTTTTTACTTTGTAAGTTTTATATTACTTCATTTGTTTACAATTTACATTTATGTACTTTTTTTTAAAGTAATTAGTCACAAACTTTAATTAATTATAGCATAAGATTTTAATTAGATGCTGATAGTAGGTTAGTACATAATATAGGCAGTGATTTATGTTGGTGAAAGGTAATAAACAATCTGCAGAAACTATGAGTTTAATTGTATGTATCTGTATGTATATTTAATAACTACAATCAAGTTAAATCTTAATGCTTACCAATAAGGCCATCCGTACCGCTTTTGATGTTTCACTTAAGTTCTTGTATTGAGATGTTTTTGATCTTAGTTTTTCCATAAGAATTTCTTTTTGCAGTTCTTTCGATTTATCATGTAAACCATTTGCCATTGGCATTAGGAAAGGTTTTATTTCCGTCATTTTTTCAACTATTATTTATTTATACGTAACAAAATAATTCAATAACACCTTAAACCAACACAGTGTAAATACTTTTCAAACCGAATGGATTTCGTTGATCCTTACAAAACGCAACTGGCCAAATATAACAACTGAATTAAGAAATTTATTACTCATTAATCAAACATTAGTTAACCATGTTTTTACACTAAATTGTATGCAATGTTTTTAAACAAACTTAAACACATCTACGATTGGGGTATCTGAAATGTACCACATTCGGAATTTTTATGCACTTTTATTTTCATTCATAATAATCTAGTGATGGCCTTGTCTTGTCTGCTGTCAAGTGAAAGCCACAGATATCACATTATAGTAAATTTTATAGTGATCGTGCGAAACGGTAAACAAGTAACTGTAAAATCTTAAAACTTTCGACATTTTACACATTTCAGAGTTTCATCATAAAATGTATGTTAATCGTAGTTTATATTAAAAATCTTATATGGTTTAGATAGTTGTACCATTGGGTGATGCGCGTATCGAATCCCCCCAAAAAAAAAAGATGTAGTCGGAAAAGGCACAGAAGTATGATCTTGTTTGTATTAAATTCAAAGAGTAGGTACACTAAACACGGATATATGTCTGCCATTCCGTTCGTACAGAACTATAGCGGGATCAAAAACACATTATTTCATTGTAGCAATAAAGATCGATCGCTATTTTAGTTCAAGGAAGAATTTTTACTTAAGTCTAAATAGATAAACATATATTTATTGCTTTATTACTCTAAGGCGACCCCGTTACTTTAGTTTACGAATTAAAATAATTGTCACAATTACTATATTTAACAACGCTTCTTATATTTGTGAAAATCAATAAATTAAGAGTTAAACGATAAACAACATAATTTTAACTGAAGGGCGTAGAAGCTACTAATTGACTGATTAATGGCTCAAAATTCCTAAAAATTTTACATTTACCCTCATAACCAACTGTATAACATCCCTGAACCTATAACTTGTTTATTGTAAACAGATAAACATCGTACAATAATGAATGTAATAAACACTGCAATAGCCCTAAATGTTCCTATAAAGACTTTAAATATAAAATAAAATGAGAGAAACGTTAAAAACATGCTAAAACCAAATACATGATAAGATTATAAATGTAGCTTATATTATCTAAGTGACATTTAATCAAATTCAATAGAATACAATTTACAAGTTTGCTAGTTGAAATGCCTATTTTTGCAATTACAAAATTAAGACAATTTTACGATTTATTTTAATGTGCAACCCTACAGATCTCTGAAGCTTGTAGGCTATTTGACAATGCGAAAAATATAGCGTTAATTATTGTATTCATTATAAGTTTACAATTAGTAAAACAGGCACATATATAAATAATTATTATTAATATAAAAAGCAAACCGCAAATATTTTATTTAAACATTTGTCATATGTCGCAAAGCGCTCCTGATTGTTAGGGTTTATCACATCACTTACTTATAAACAGATCTATAAACCACCGTGCTAGAGTGTTAAAACTATTCTGTAACATATTTTATAACATATTTGCTCGTCAAGTGGTTGTAATTACACCAATTTCAATATCGTAATGTATCTCATTACGTACTTGTGCGATTATGACGTAATGTAAAAGGCACGTATTTTTTTTTAATAAAGTTTTAAGATACTTTATCTATATATGAACGATACTTTTAAAAATCTTAGCAAAGAGGTTTTATGTCAAGAAAGTAGTCAATATTTTATGAATAAAATTAACTTTGGGAAATAAAATATAACAAATAAACATTTAATTCTTTAATTTAATTAATTTTGACAATAAATTACAACCTATAACAAAAACATTAATTTACTTTATTAGTAATACTGGCTGTTTTTGTACCTTTGCCTAAAAACAACGTTGGTGCGCGCGCATCGCTTATTTGTTGACGCTTTTTCTTTTCGCCGTATTGTTTTGTTTTGAAAATGTCGTCTCTTTCACTCAAGAGAGTGAGAGAGAAACTGGGGAAATTGTAACTAATAATAATAAGTTAACAACATTAAAAGTGCCAACTGGCAACGTAACCACTTTTAAAAATTGTTCAAATTTTTATAACTGCTTTAACAATTAATTAAAGATTTATTCGTTTAACTAAGTTAGAGTTTTATTAATTTCCTCGTAAATATGTTATAAAACGTCGTATGACATACGTGCGCTTTGAAAATTACAGCCTCTGCTTTCTTATAGCATATATATATTTCATATATAATATCGCCTCGGCTGTAATTTTCAACTTACCGCACTTATATCATGATGTACTATTATTACTTAAATCTCTGTTCAAATGTATTTGTTACAATTGAATGGTGATTGTAGATCATATTATTATGGTCAATGCTTAGTGACGTCACTTGCCGCATTTCAGCGTTATTTGGCGTTTAGGTGCGCAATTTAAATGTTGGATTTTTAATTTTATATATTTTTTGCAAATATTGAACATCATCAGAATTCAAAAATAATAAATTTCTCGAGTTCCTTAACATTTACCAAATAATATAAAGTACATTAATACATTCAGTCAAATAGCCTATTTTGATTGTGGATTTTTAAGTAACTATACGTTACGGTACGATATTAGGTTATCAATTTTTGATATCCATCACAGATGAAAAACAAAAAGCTTAGTGCAAATAGAAAAAAAATATATTGAGTTATCAAATAGTTTTATTACCGAGCCAGTTTAATGAAAGAGACAGATCTATGCTTTCGTTGCAGTAACGAAATATTTAAGTTATTTTCTAAAAAAAAATGTGAAAAGACGATGTGCAAAGTCTTCACTTTCATATGTTGAAAGCGGGGTCCGTTTAAGTTCGCGTAAATTATTTATTCGCGTATTTTCCTCACGTATGTTCACAGACAAGTAAAGGGATCAGAAACGGGTTAAGTGAGAGGTGAGTAACGAATCTAATTAAGGGTCGTGCTCTTTGAGTCTCTTTGAAACGGGATAGGTACTGGATACCTGCTTTCACTGACCATTTTATGGGAGGCGATTGTAAAAGTAAAAATATCCTATATTTTAACTTATTTTATAAATCGAACTATCAGCGTATAATATATCAAAGTGAAAGGACATTTCAAGTGTACCGATACCTAAGATGGAGATTTATTTCAATTAAAAATATATTACTGTGAGTAAAGGAATACAACCAAACCCATCTATGTATTTTGTCAGAATACACGCGAAAATGTGGGACAATAAACTAACCATTCATAATATTAGTCATTGGTACTGTCATTAAGTTTTGTGGCATCGCTTCAAGTAAAAAAGATTCTGTGTTCGATTAGCTTTAGCGGTCTACAAAAAACATACAAAAAATCTTTCGGTAGGGCACAAAAGTTTGATCAATTAAAAAGTCCATATAACATCCACTAACCAGACGCAGAAATAGGTTTCCGCCATGCCCCGCGTGAAAAAATTAATTTCACTTAATTTGTAGAATAGCTACATTAATAATTATTATTTGTCATAGATAATGGCAGCCAAGTATATTAAAACCTCAGACACCCCAAAAATTAAAGGAGCTCTACATCATCTGTGTACTCTGTGAGCTCTACATCCGCCGCGTAGACATTAACACGAAACATAAATTAATTTTCCTTTTAAAATTCACCAAATGTCTTTTGCGAGAGGCGATAGAACAAATTGATCTAATTTTATCAAGTCTAACATTCTGCTCGCTCAAAGTGAACCGATCCGGGCTTTTTACTAATAACACTTCGGGAAGTAATGTAATAAATAATAATCAATACTGTACTAATACAGAATATTAATATAATTGAAGCTGTTTGTGCCGAGTGAGTGGTTATTAGTTATTGCTTGTTTACTATATGCAATTAAAATTAATATGCCTTGCTAGCATAGTTGAAGGTGAGACCGTGTCTATACTCAATGTTATAAAGCTGAAGAGTTTGTTTGTTTGTTTGAACGCGTTAATGTACTGGAGTACCGGTTTGATTTAAGGAATAATTTTAGCTTTAAATATAACATTTATCGATCTAGGTTTTAGGCTATAAAATAACACGCTGCGACAAATAGAAGCGAACAAATAGTGGAATTAAAAAAGTATTAATTTCAATAAAAAAGTGGTACCGAAGAGGAAGAATGAGGTCCAGGTCACGTAGCACCGTCCACAGATGAAAAAGCCGTGAAGTTTAATCACGTTACGGTTTCAGTCTGCGGTTTTCCAATTACCCAAAGTCTAAATGGGTCGACAGCGTATCTTGTTGCTGATGAGATGCTGGGCTATTTCACCTTCAATCAGGTGAACGCCATGCTCGGCCTCCTGGGAAAAAACTTGGATAATTATTCCTCTTTGAGGGTTGGCGTGCGCTGGCAAAAAGGTTATAGTAACAAAACATGTGTATGAAGGAACGGTAACTCTTTTAATGATCTAAAAAAATGGCTGCCTTATCTTAAAATCAAGACGCAAGAATTAACAACAAGAATAATGAAGCTGAGGAGGTTGATTGCAAAATAAATGTTGACGCCCAAAATAACTATTTCGGGCTTTTAGATATTAGATATCGTTCAACATACCTACGGAATATATTTGTATCGTGCTTGAATTACTATGTTTTATAATTAATTACATATCATGGTTTATTGCACATACGATTGTCTCAGGACTCTCAAGTACTAGGTCTGCATTGATTTTTTTTTAATTTTGTTGGAAATAATAAAAAAAATTTTAATGATATACTTAGTGTTATATTGCATAATTATTATAAAAGTAATTTTATATATGCATTAAAGAGTAGAATTAGTATTTTAAAGGCGTTTATAACATATAACTGATTTTGTTATATAAAAAAAATGTTTCGTATTTTTTTTATATCGTGTATCTCGTGACATAAACAAAAGCTTTTATTCATTCCACCAAGTGCAATAAAAAACTTCTGACAATGTTTTGTTAACCAGAATATGGGGAGTATAACGAGTTATTTAATATTTCTAAAATAGTTTGTTATTTAGCAAATTAACGACCTTTTCGTTAAATGAATAATCATTGCTATTTTAACTTTTCAAAAATTTTATCTTACTAAATACTCTTATCAGCTTTATACTTGAAACATTATTTTCCACGTATTATGTATATCTCTGTATCTACGCTTTGTGGAAAACTGTTTCATACTAAGGCCGCGGTAGTTGAGTTCGAGTCGGGCCCAAATAATCAATTTTTAATTCTAAAATAGGTGTCACTTGCAAATGCTCCTAAAACTCTTCTTCTTTGTGAACTATACAAGTTTGTTAAACTTATCGTCTATAATAATACGCTTAAGTTTAAAGTCTCTAATATAAACCTCTAAGAACGATTTAGAATTGTTGTGTCAATGAGAATGTTTTGACGTTTTTCAAAGGCAAATTAAATTCTCCATCTTATAAAACTTTCGAAGAATTCGATCTGAAATTCCGATTTGCGATTGGCTACATTGCTCGAGTTTTCTCTGATATATATAACATTATAGGATGAATTTTACTATAATGATAATAATAATATTTCATTCTAGCTAAACATAATGACCACGAGAAAGACTTTAGTCTTCAGAGAGGCTTGTTCTAGGCAGGTGTGACCCTTCTTAGACCGCGTCTTTACTTATCATCTCTTGATCCTATGTTTATTTAAGTACCTACTAAAACGACTTATTTAAATGATTTCCATGTTTACTGTGTCTATTTGGGGAAAATATTTTAAAATACACATGAATAATTTCGAAATGCTTACTCAAAGTGCTAATGTAATTAATTTATTTCTGACCACAATGGAATTCACCGCTTTTAATTAAAACTTTCTAAGTACCAATGGTATTAATAAGACAATTGAGAGAATTACTATCAGAATAGTTGTAACGAAAATAAAGTTATAGTTGAAGAGTTTGTTTGAGCGCGCTTATCTCGGGAACTACTGATTAGAATTTAATAATTGTGTTGCATTGATCATTTATTGAGGACCGCACACATCATCACACCGCGACCAGCAGGTACAAATAAACAGTGGCACATGTGGTAAAACGGGGAAGTTGTTCATCTTTAAGGACTTCCGATGCGTGCACAGTGAAACCAAAGAATTATGAAATAATGATTCGTCTTTAAATGATCTAAAAATGTCCTCGACAGTATGTCTATCTTATAAGATTAATTTGCAACAATGTAGGACGCGGACGACACGCAACACAAACAATAAAACATAAAGACGAGGTCTGTAAAAATAAATATGATGCCAAAAATAACTATTTCACCTGGACGAAGTCGAAGTCAGTCAGTAAATTTAAATAAAAAAATATACACATTAACCTCCTCTGTGACCCCATAGGCAAAATTCATTGCGTTAAGCTGGATTCAAACCTCATGATGTACTTGTTTGTACGTTAGATCGATTATTGAAATTTATCTGCCCCAAGAAGAAAATTTTAACTCATTTTTACGATAACGAATAACATTTTACCATTCAATCCAAGTACATACCTACATTACATATGAGTTCGCGCTTTAACTTATTTAAAGATATTGTAATAAAATTGTACCTTAACCACAGATATAACTAAAAGCTTATTTGTATAACATGTCATATCATTTAACCGCCATTTTGTATTTAAACATTTTTCGCGCCGAAATTACGTAAACAGATTATAATGTAGTTATTACTTGTATAGCCCTTAAATTATGTGGGATTTCTATGTATCTGTGGGGGTATTACCGGAAGCTCATATGAGACTTACATTAAACTTAATATCAAGTGTGACTGGCACGAAGTATGGAGCTATTTGCCGGAGATAATTGCACTATCGATACGAACTTTAATTAGCTGAAAGCGCTTCTCGTCACGGTACTTCGTGTACTTTGTACAGGACATGATACAATATTAATTTAAAATCGATTATAACTTTTAAAATGCTGTATGAAATATGACTGGTTCGTTGCTCCTATGGTTCAAACCAACATCATAAGCTTAAGCGTATTTTAATGTGATGTTAGAGCCGGAGCAATTTTCCTTCCATCGCGAGCACTAACCTTGTCTGTTCTCTGTTATAAAAAAGAATTGCAAGGAATACATACTCATAGATACGTCATTCTATGTTACATTACACATATAGGTTATATTCATATTTCATTGTTTTTCGGGCTGTTCGGCCGATTGCTCGTAGAATTAGCTCGAGGAGTTAAATCCCCTGATGATCCGTCACTATTGATGGCGAAACGTCGGGAACCTCTTCTCCTCACGTCCGCGTCGGCCGAACAGCTCGAAAAATAATGAATTGAAACATGGCCGTGGAAGCCTTTCACAATTTATTGGTTACATTGTTTTCTATATATGTTTTTGTATATTGTGTGTTTAAAGAATTTATTATATAAAATAAAAGAGGTATTGGCAATAATAACGTGGATGACCGAAGCCTATTAAAAATGGGAAAGCCACGCAACCTACATAAACCTCATTATAATGCCGTTAAGATGATCCAAATGGTTATGACACAATCCAGGAAACGGACATTAGAGTTTTTTTTTGTTGTCACATTATTTCTATATAAATCTAATCTATCAATGTTAAATAAATAATAATTAAACGGCTTTCACCTGAAGTAGAAACCCTACGACGATGTACCTACTAAAAAAACGTCTTTGGAATTTATTTGATATAGTTTTGTTCAAATTTATTATCAATACTTAACAGACATGTTTAACCTAGAAGATTAAACAAGAACCGAATGTGTATGATAAATAACTTGATTCAGTATTTGTAGGTCTTGTCATCGTATTATCTTAATGAATCTCGTTTGCTTAAACTCTATGAACTTACGCAAGTCTCTCAGACTAATAATATAACTCCACTACATTTTAACTTATTACAAAAAAGAAAGTACAGAGATTGAGTAATTTTATATTGTAGTAAGGTTATCAAAACATACGGGCACCAACTTCAAAATAATAAAAAAAAATAATGATGAAATCATTTCTACCAAAACTTAATCTAAATACGTATTTTGGAATACAGATATCATTTTTTTCGTAGTTTATTGTGTTCTCTAAATTCCAATGTTTTGTAGTAGGATCGTTTGTGACCCGGAAATAGTCGAATATTGCTTAATATTTGTTTGCGAAAGTTTACTTTTGGGACAAGTGGCTAGCACTATATGTGCTGAACCGAAAGTTGATTGCCTTTTCGCAAGAACTAATAAAATGTTTCCTTGTCGAATGTAATGGAGCGAAATAAAATATTTTATACTGATAAATATTTATTTTGTATAATGAAAAATATAATATCATTCACATAATATTTGTCGGGTAAGCTTACGTCGTATTACTGAAAACAGTATTTTTTAACGAAATATTTACATTTGTTAAGCTTAATGACGTAATACTGAAAATTCAACGTCTCTATATTAAACTCTCCTTAACAATAGAATAAATAAATGTACTTAAATCGACTTATATGGTTACATTTACTAATTAAGGAATTTCAAAATTTACACATAACTAACAAATATATAGATGTCGAGAACAAGGTGAGTCTAATCTAATAAATATTGTTCCAATTAAATGTTTTAGTAGTACAATAATATAATAACAAGTATTAAAAAGTCACTTATTTAATATTAAATTGATAATACGGTCACGTAAACAAAGTTAGAAGCGGAAAATGTGATCTCGTTAAATTTAGGGAGAAGCGTGATCTTTTAATACTGTGTTTTGAGCCGAAGATTTTTGGATTCAGTGTTTCTAGATTATCGGAGTGTGTGGGTATTTTCGGACCTCTTTGAGCCAATGGGGAACTGGGAGAAGTCGATCTCGTCCATGGGGTAGTCAGGTCTGTAGCGCTTCTTGTCCAGGCTTGAGCTGAAAACAATATTGAAATGTTTATTAAATATCAGCATATAAAAACTAACAAGATGGACATCGTTGTTCGTCGTCATTAAATTACGTCCTTCCTTTCATATCCTTACAATTGAAAATAACTTATACGAGAATTCTTTGAGCATGCTTAATGCCTTTAAGTAGCTTCACTGCGTCTGTTGAAAATCACGCGAGTAATTTGATTATGTGGTTACACGACTTACGTTCGAAACGTTACGGTCGGGTGTTCGATTTCGGTCGTGCACCAAATATCTTATAATCCTACACCGCTAATACGAGCTATATGGTGAAAAAAAATCCCACTAATTTTGTCACATATTTATGTAGCTATGGTTAATTCTCTTTTATATATAAGGTTGTGCGCGGTGGATGTTGAAAATCCCAGACGTGGGAAATGTGATAGTCCTGATAATAAAAAAACAACCAGAATGTGTGGTCGTTAGAAATAAATCGCGTCCCAATCCGTTGATATTGTTACATTCGCAGCGTGTTTTCAATAAATTAATTCGAGAACAATGATACGCAATAAGCCAAATTGGCGTCCCGAAATTAATATTTCCATATGAACGAATCGGCTTCGGAAGTCACCATCAGTATAGGCGCTGCACGCATCGTTGTTTGAAGAGGATAATCCTATTATATAGGGTGCGAGAGCTGAACACCAATTTTCACTAATAAATGTTTCATAAGAAACTTCGTTTTGTTACATATATCAAAAGCTATACATAAAAGTTTCGCGGTTCGAAAGTTTTATTACAAGCTGCGGGTTGGTATAAGTTTTCATTACATCTGTTATGTTGTTCAAGGATCTTTTTGGTTTAATTAAATGCAAGTGTACTATGTTCTCAGTTGGTTTTTAATGTTTTCTTAAAAATACTTCGATCTTATTGTATACTAGCTGTGCCAGCGACTTCGTACGCTTAAAACAGTTATTTCGAGCGTCAAAATTTGTTTTTCGAACTTTCTCCTCATTACAGCTGTTACCCACGACATTCGTAACCCGTCGTACGCGTCCCGTCGTTCGGGTCGTTCTTGCAAGTTAATCTTAAAAGATGACATTTCGCGGACTTTTTTTTTATCATTTAAAGAGGAATGATCCTTCCATACATATTGTTTTGGTTTCTTGAACCGTTCGCGCAGCGTACGCATCGGGAACCTACAGAGATGAAAAATTTCTCCCGTTTTGTTTAAATTTCCCGCTGTACCTTCGTTTCTATTAGTCACAGCGCGTTTGTCGTTTGTTTTATAGCGTATAGCTATAGCCTATGATTTGTAGTTTTTTTTGTAGCTTCCTCGATAAATACACTAACTAACACAAAAATATTTTTTCAATTTGATCCAGTAGTTCCTGAGATTAGCGCGTTCAAACAAACAAAAAAAACTCTTCAGCTTTATATATTAGTATAGATTTATATACTAATAGCACTTCTTAACGGCATCATGTAGAAAGAAGCGATATAGATAGTTTCTGATCCTTGTATGTTTTTTTACTAATTACCACATTTGCCGTGTTGGTAAAGCACGGTTCACTGCGGCTTTGGGTTCGAGTCCCACCCGTGTCCAATATTAAAATAAAATTGAAATACATTTTTTCCTTTGTATTTCAAACATAGATTCTAAGAATAGTTACATATGGAAACTGGACTTCTACAATCTGGAAAGGACTACTTATCTATTCCCAGTTGTGCAGAAATGCTGATGCTACAATCTTTTTTACTTACACAGGGATATCCAGGTAGTTAGGTCCCATTAGGGGATAGAAACGCTTGAACGGGAATGGCATAGATGACTGGTCGATTTCGTCGAAATTTCGTTTCTTAACAAACGTGTTGAAGTTCGATCTGCAATTATATTTACATATTTAAAAAGTTCCTAAGCCTGAAAATAAAAACTTACCAATATGAATAATTAATAAATACTAGAAATTAACTAATTACCTTAAAACTAAATATAAAATTTAACGAGTGAAAACTCGAGTCTCAAAGGTAAGCCAAATATTTAGTCTCCTACTTAAACACAGATAGTATGAAATAAGTAACATTACCTCACATAATCTACGTAAATAAAAACTTATTCGAGTAGTTATTTATTTAGGTTTCCGAATAAAAAGGTTGACAAATCATTACTATTAAAACAATATTAGTTTAATATACATTATATAAAACTCTCAAATACTGTTATATTTATTCGAGATATACAATATTTATCCATTATAAATTCTATGGTTGCAATTCCTTCCTACTATTTAAAACTTGTAATCAAAGTTTTTGTTTACCTCAACCCTAATGCCGCATAGTTTAAGACTCCCGACAAATAACTTTAAAGTTGAAAACGTGTGACGGACTAAACTAACGGATTTCCCTCGCGGCTCGTATACCTTCTACAAATTCGCCGAGATCATTTAAAATTCATAGTCACGACTGTTATTATTTTATCTTGTTTAACACAGCCTTACGCTATGGATCGTGTAATTATGAACATAAAAACTTTCGACTTGAAGTTGTATCTTCCGCGTGGGGCCGATTCTTTGGGTAAAGGTCTGATGGCTCCCACATAAATTATAAAAGGTGAACTCCCCTGTGCGTTTTAAAGAACTATTTTATAATTATATTATATTATATTAATAGTTAATCAGACTGTTATGTCCTTATTAAAGCTATTTATTATTTATTAGCAGAACCGACAAACGTTGATTTGTTTATTATAACTCTCACAAATTATTGGTAATAGTGAATTAATTTCGCCCAATTCCATTTGATAACCATAAAAATCGTTCTTGCAGTTAGTCTTAAAAGATACGCATATACAGCTCCGGGCATTTTATTTCATCATTTAAAGTGGAATCATTGATATATATTTATTGTTCCGCTGTTTGCTCACTTCTATTTGCAAAGTTACTTAGACTAAAGCCAGTTAAATCTATCCAATACAAAAATAATTGTTTAATTCGAACTAATACTTCCGGAAATATATAAATGTTCAGTAATATTAAGTATAGATGTCTCTGGAATTCAAACTCAGAACTTCCAAACGTTAAACAGTCCGTGTAACCGTTGTGACATAAAGTCAAAGAAATTATACGATTATCTTATAAATTTAAATCAATTTCGGTCTGGTATCTTTGAGCTTAGAAAGTAATTAGTTAGCGAAAGTAATTTCAATCCAATAACGCTACTCACCGGTCGATTTCGTCAAAATTACGTTTTGGCAGTCCATCTCCGTAGTATCCGTATTCAAACGGAGATACTAGATTCCGGCCGAACGGGCTATAACAAAATGTATCAAGAAACGAAAGTTAACAAGCTTTACGTAAAGATGTAGTAAGTGTTATCTAGTATTTTATACTTTAATACTGTTAAGGTAGATGTGTAACATCCTGCCGGTGTAACTGCGTTATTGAAAAGGGTAAAATTGTGATTTATTTTCAAGATACATATTCGGAATAACATGTCTCTCAGATATTCTCTTTTATAAGTCATTCCTATGACATAGCTGAGTCGTAATGTACTATACTTAAGACTGAAACAAAAAGTGGATCAAAGCTGGGGATTACTTACTATTTTGTTTTTATTATATGAATATGACTTATAATGGTATTTCTCTTATTGTTATGTTTCTATTTTACAAACATTTCACTACAAAATGATAACATGTCATTTAACTAGACAAAAATTACCGATGAAATAAGAAATGCAATAAATTATAATGTTATATAAAATTAAATAAGTTTTACCTTAAATATTCATAACGTCTTCCCAAATGCGGCATACGATGGGCCTCACGAACTTGCCGCACCAAATTGCCGCTTCCTAGAGATTCCAAATTCCGAGGTTTGTTACCTATAATTAGTTAACGATGATACTTAAAGAATATAGCTCGGAAGTAATTTTTAAATAATTTCTCACCTGAAGCATATTTGAAACTTCCACTTTGCCTAATAGTTTTTGCGATGCAACGTTTTCTTGGTAAACATTAAAATACACACAAGTCTATTTTGTAGAAAATAAAATTTACCGTAGCAGGTACACGTAATATGATTTTAAAAGTATGAATAATGTTCTCAGTCGAAGCGCTTGAAAATACAAATTGATAATGGATTAGGATGTGAAAGGAATTCATAAGAAATGTCTATTATTTGCACATTTATTTCCAAATTAAAATCACATTCAAATATTAAAGATGGATATCACATAAAAGGTTCTTTAATCAAAAAATTGTTACACAGGAAGTACCTTAAAGAAAGGATATAGATTACACAAAATTACCCCCTCCCAAAGAGTCTACTTCTCGGACGAAATTACCCCCTCCAATTGAATCCAGGGTGCGTACAAAATTTCCGCCACCTAGCGAGTCAACGTGGCGTTTCACCAAGTTAGGTCCACCGATGGCGTCCAAATTCTTCTTCACTAGGTTGCCTCCACCGATTGAATCCAAATTCCTCACTAGATTCGCACCTCCGATTGAATCTAGGTTACGAACCAAGTTTCCACCTCCTAGGGAATCAATGAATCTTGCGTAATGTTCGCGATTAACACTTCGACCAAGGAGTGATGAACCTCCTAAATTGTCTAAGTTATAGCCGCTGGGTACATTTCTGCCCAGCAAACTACTGCCCCCCAAACCGTCAGTTATCCTTCCACTGCCAAGACTTCTTCCCAATAAAGATCCTCCGATTCCATCCAAATGCCTTCCGTTACCGTTTTGCAGCAAAAAGTGCAAATACTTCTCCAATTCTTGTCTTTCCCTCAATTCTGTAATAGAAGCAACACAGATTAAGCTGTGATTTTTCCAATAGCAACTTTAACAAATAACTTGAAGTGGACTTACCATAAGAGTGACCAAGCTTGTGCTGTAATATAACTGTGCGAAATATTTTAGTGCGTATCCAACACCGATAGACGTGAGTTGTGAGGAAATAGTAAAGTGCAATGGATTATCATCGTGTACGTGAAACGAGAAACTGCAAGGTTTTGTGCACGGGGTCTCATTTGGGGCCTTAGCCAAGTTAACACATAACACAACGGAATCTTTTGTTGTTATTGTTACCGTGGCTAAGGCATAAAGATATACGAATTTGTAGTACGGGTTGTGGCAAGTGAACGGGGCGAAATACCAAGTTACCGTGATAAGTAATAATACGTGCTATATGTGCCCTTAATATTTTCTTGTTTAAAACGCAATCTTACCAGTATCATAGCGGTCTGCAGTGTTGTGCTCTTCTTGTTCCTGTCAAAAAATAGGTGGTTCGATAACTAAAAATGCAATATAAGTAGACAAGTGCGAATCGAAATCACGCGATAAAGACTCCCTATATCTAACACACGACAAAATGTTTTTACATCGAAGCTTCACCTAAGAAGTACTTTATTTTTATTGTTAATGTGTATTCTAAAATTGAAAAATATATTGAAAATATTGAACGAATTTTTAAAGCATTAATTACGTCATCGAAAAGTAGGTCATGCAGGAACACGTGGTATTGGAGCCTATATCGGCTGTGGAAATCTCGTACGATACGTGGTGATAGACAAACAGCCTCTATAACTGACTGTATAAAAAACACCATAGGTTCCCTCTTTACTTGTTTTTAAGGAACTCTAAAAACAATAATGTACGGAGCGTCCTCTTTTATTACTCAATGTATGGTTGACATATGTGTATATACATAGTCATACACAGAAGGCAATTACAGGTTTGTACGTAAACATTTGGAAATGAGAAAATCGCAATGGGCACAATTGAAACGTTATGGTTGGCATAGCCTATTTATCTCCAAGCATGTGTTCAAATATTTCCTTTGTGTAGGTTTTATTTTCTCGATCGGAAAACTAGAACCGCCAAAGAATGGTTCTCAATTCGTAATATTAATGCTCTGAAAATATTTTACCTGTTACATTACCGACACGTTACTAACCAAGATTGGTTGTAGCTGAAAATGTTCGATGAAATATTTTAAAATTGATTGGGGATTCCCTTCGTTATTAAAATATTCCTAAAACGAAGCTAGCAATTACAAGTAAAGTCCAAATTATTCTCTCTATTAACATTTTCCTATTAGGAAACGCAATTTTCTTCGGTACAAATTACGAATTACTGGTAGCGAGTACCTTAATTTAATTTTTAAATTGATTAGACATAATGGAGATTTTTAGCCTATAAGATTGTCGTCCTTAGTGTATTTTTATACGTTTTCTGCTATTGTTGTAACTCTAGGCATCGCGATACACATTTTCAAATATATACAGCTAGATGTACATCTTATATATTACAACATTATATTAATTAGATTTTGTTATGTGTTCTATTAGTTTTAAGAATACATGTTTAATTTGAATTCGAATATTGTAAATGTAAAAAATACATACAACAAGACCACTATCCAAAACCACTAAAATTTGCTAGTCATCAGTAATTTCTCTGGAGGTCAATTCTCATAAAAGTGATAAGATCGTCATTTTTGTCAAACAGCATATGAATCTGACAGTGTAACAATAAATAAAAAATATGATTGCCGATTAATGTCGCGTAGGTCATATACTATCCCTTTTTAGAAGCGTTCCCGAGGTCTTCAATTTATCTCCTTACCTGTCGAGGATCTGCGCTGCAGCATATAACTAATGTCACCAAGGCCACTGCCACCACGCCGCTGGTTCGTAGCATTGTATCTGCTGAATAATTCAATTATTGGTTATCATCACATAAGTTAGAAGCATGCGCTTGCTTACTATGTTGTGCTTTCTACGTAGGCATCTACTGGTCTACACGTTTTTTCTGGTAGGATGCGCGCCTCGTGAAATTGTTGTCTATGAACTGTTTTATTAATTAAAAATAATCGAATCGTCTTATTATTTCTAATTTTATACCATAACAAGCATTTTATTTAAACTACAACGATACGGAAGATAAACTATTACATTCAAAGTACTTGATGTTGATAGATTACCTTGTATTCATTTATGAAATGTCACCATAGCTAGCAACTCTCATACAAATTATGGGAGAACTGCAGGAGGATCATGCACGGATGTAAAGCTTATACGATATTTGTATGTATTGTTATAGTTCTGTTTACATACAATATTGTTTGGCTTAGTTTACCAATATTCGAAGGGATAGTACGTACTTCAAAAACGATAACGTGTTTCATCCGACTGCGAAGGCAAAAAATAGCGTAAGGATTTAATAGAAAATATACGACACGTAATTCTGATCTGATTTAACTAAAGAGTGTCAAGCAATTGTGCGGGAAACATGCTATAATATATTTTTTATAAGTAGGATATACGATCGAATTTAAACCTGGTAAAATGAGAAACATAGTACATTCGTATAGTGACAATACTGATCGTGCTCCTAGTTCGAGCTTAATTTTTTATAGTTTCGTAAACTTTGCTATAAAAACTTATACTTTTTTCATAAGAAATCATTCCAAGATATCTTAGAACAACAGAGGTAAACAACTATATAATTACACGTAACAATATTTGAAAGCTTTTTAATCCAATTACAGCGAACACACTTATGCATATTTTATTGTTCTTCTGCAGGTTTCGCATAATTGTCGAGTTGACGATTACCAACCAGCCTTGGCCTGCACTTAATCATAATAAAAGTATATTTCATTTTGAAGGAAGACTGGAAAGGCTATTTCATTAGTACGGTTAAGTGACGCGCGGAACTCGCTGCTCTGTCTATTGGCGTTTTAGGAAGCTTCAGTTATCATTATTCAAAAAGACGCAAACATAAAGATATAACATAGTAAGACAATTTTTTACTGTACGCGTTTCTAACGTAAGACTTTTTAACATTAAAAACATATAGGCCCTTATTGGACTTCAAGCTACTAGAAGAAACAGACTGCCCTGAGTCTATCGATACAGAGAATGCTGGGGGGATCAGTAGTTTCAAATAAAATCGATCTTTAAAATACAATAGCTGTATCCATTTCAGTCATCGATTTTATATAGGCTTTAAGTAGTGTCGCTAAACAACCTATTGTGCCCTACTCGCCCGAAACAAAACGTCCATTCTCTGGCATTCAAATTTTCACGACTAAGCCTAGATGTCGATAATACAAATATGCTTTATATATGAAAAGATGATTCGATTTTTCAAAGAATTTAAGTAAGCGACGTATAAGCCAGACCTCTATGAAATATCTACCTAGCCGTACCCTATAAATATTTAATGAAAAACGTGGATGCAAAGTATGTATTACAGACGGATTTAAGGGATTTTTGTTTCATATATATGTATTAACCGTGATGGATTTTACGTACTATTTGAATGTATAATGGTAAATATGACACGTTATTCTAGTTATCGTTCACGTTTTTATTTTTAAAACTTTAATTAATTAGAAGATATTAAGAAGACATCAACGAGTTTTATTTTTTGCGAAAATTAATTATCCGAACATAATCCTTGATATGTTGTTTTTTCTTGATATTTGGAAAAGTTTACAGCTTAATTTAATAGACAATGTGGTAATAAGAAGAGGAGAACAATATAAAAGAAGTTTTCACTTATAAAATAAATAGGTCTAGAGTAGCGTTTTACAATGAAAGGAGTTCCTTGTGACAATAGAAAGAAGAACCTTGTAGTTTTATAGGAAACGAAACAAATAGAAACAATATTAAAATGTAATGTTCAACAAGGACCATTGAATAAAGGTGGGATCACAAATTTCACTAAGACTAGCAGTTTTAGAAGGTAACGATTTTTAAAAAGAAAAATTGTTATTGTCACAGATTATAATTTCCTGTTTGTCCTGGAGTGTAGCTCCATAGACAGTGTAATATCTATTAGTAGGAGTTATCAATGTTAATTGCACGCCATTTTTATTAATTTATATAATATATTTAATAAAAAAACAAATACTGTCTATAGTTTACGCGAGAGCACACATTTAAATAAAAACTTTAACGGTAAAATTAATATATCGTATAAGTTTAATAATATATCGGTTTTAAACCGTTAAAGTGTTTTATTTAAAAAATCAAATGTTTAAATCATTCATAGGTGAGAGGTTGTTGAGAAATTCTGGAACAACTGATTTGTGGTGGGTTCGAGGCCCGTCACATTTATTTTTCAATCTCAAATAAATTTCAAATAGAGTTAATTGTTTTTATAACTACTTATCTTCATTTATTTATGTTGATTATTAATAACACCTTAATAATAAATACAAGTTACCGAGTAGTACAAATAACCTGCATTATTTCCATGCAAATTGGCTATGATTTTCCGACGAAATTAATTTGTTGATCGGCCTTACTTATTTCGATTTCTATGTTACACGCGCGTATCATTATAGAGAATTGCTTATAATTTTTCTTTTACTTATTTTTAGAACTGTAGACAATCCGCAAATTACTATATAAGTATTCTCAGTTACGTCTTCGGCTGGAGTTCAACGTGGAGCACTCTTTTAATAGTTTGATGGATTACTTATAGATAGCAAACTTGCTCTTTCAAAGAACTTTGGGTAAGTAAAGATGATAAGTAAAATTGTATGTATAGACATAAACAGGATTTTAGCACATTTAATTATTATTATTATTTAAGTTATTGTTTGATACAATTTTTTAACGCAAAACTGAAGTAAAGAAAACGTACTAACCTGTTATTGTATTGCTGGTTCGGGATAGTTGCTAGGGCCGTGTTGTGGTACGATGTGCCGTAGAAGCCTTCTCGGCGGCTTTTATATTGTTGGGCGGATTGGGCGGGCGGTCCGCCCTCCGCCTCGTTAATGCAACAAGCTGCCTCACGTATACTGTATTACCAATTACCTATTATCATTCCGATTCTTTCATTATTTTTGGGTTTTATTTGAATATAGTAAGTATTCTTATATTAATTTATCAAAATAAAATTGTACGCATATTACATTCAGACTATCGTTTAACATTCACATTTCTGTAAATATCTGCTCGAATTTCTTTTGCAAGCGCAAGATTCTATACCTCGCAACAAGGCACATTCTATCTAAGTATTCAAACCCAAGACCTCTCGCGCTTAAACAATGTTTGTTAACATGTTTATCCAGCTTGTATTTGCAATGTATGATTATGATAAACTGTATATTGTGATAATTTAGACTATTTAAATAAAACACTTTAACGGTTGCGATACTTTGCATCGGGCCGTAGTTAAAATAATTTTCAAATAAGTTTAACTGCTATATATCGCGTTTTAAATCGTTTATTTAAATGTGTACTACTCGCCTAAACTACATTATTTCATTTTTACTATATTGAAAGTCTATCAAAGGTCATTATAATAATTTAAATCGCTAACATATATGCATATTGGTTTATTCAATCTCGAACTATGTGAATCGATCCGGAATTGATTCTAAGAACGTGATGTTTACTGAGGCTTAACTAGATCCTAAATTGAGAATCAATTCTAAGAAACGCATTTCCTATATCCAATTTTATGTGATTTGATTAGTGTTCTTTTTTTTTTAGTTGTTGAATCTATTTTATTTATGCGTTAGGAAAAAGTTATAGGAACTTTGTGTTCTATTACTCTTAGTAAATTGTAGAACATTCTTTACTTTTAACATCAAATGTTTATTTATTACCGTGATATAAAGATTATGAATATTCCAGTTTGTGGCAGTACATCTTCTATTTACGAAAAACTATTATATATAACTATTATATTACTAAATTTTGTAAAGGTATAATAATATAATAATAAGTGTAATATATTAAATTAAAACAAACGAAGTGTCGTATTGTATACCTTTATGTAAATATTTTTGAAAATAAATTTCTATATGTAAATTGAGAATTCAGCTTATAAGGTCTATCTCCACTTCATACCATATTGAATATTTGAGTAATGCGTCTTACATACCTATGAGTATTACACCATATATGTATTAGTGATGTGAAATGTCATATTTTCTCTTCTCTCAACTTTATAAAAACATACTGTAGTGTAAAAAAAACTGCACACTAAATGTATTTTTTTTAATTATGTAATTCTTAAGTATGTAAATCAATGTGTTAATTTAAAATTCCATTCTACAGACATAAGGATATAGAGCGGATACATTCATACGTTCATAGTATGTCTGTATCGTGCCCCACCGATGCACTAAATATATCCCCGGGTTTTGAACCCAGATAGTCAACACTACTCTAGAGCGGTCCGACGTCATACATTACTGTAGATAACATTTTTTAATAAACGTATCTTCTAGGATCTAAAAGTCGTCGGAAACAAATTAATCTGCCATTCCTTCATAATGATACTTGATTAATGAAGTGGTTGAGTATTTTCGTATTCATGAGGCGATCTATTTTTTATTTTGTCATTAGTAAGACGTTGAAGTAGGTTTGTCTTGATGAGTTAATTTTGCAACAGTTGTGTATTACTTGACACTAATCTATACTAATATATAAAGTTTGTTTGTATGTTTGAATCGCTAATCTCAGGAACTACTGGTTCAAGTCGAAAAAATATATTTGCACTGGCTAGAGCATTTATCGAGGAAGGCTATGGGAGATAAAACATCGCGTTGTGACTAAAACGAGGAAAGAAGCGGAACATGTGGAAATTTCATTCTTGTGGGTTTATTGCGCATTGCGTACGCTCCGAAAACGGTTCAAGATACCCAAAAAATATGTACGAAAGAAAGATTCCATTTTAAATGACCTAAAAAAATGTTCCGGTCAGTAACTAGCAAGAACGACGGGCCGCGGTCGTGGGAGACAGTTTAAATTTATAGAGTTGAACAGGAGGTTTGCAAATAAAATTTTTCGCCCAAAATAAATATTTTACGCGGATGAAGTCGCTGACACAGCTAGTCATTAATAAAAGCTTTATTCTTTATTACGTGAAGACACGTGTCCGTATAAGTAATATTTTTTGTATACAGTGATACATACATATCTAAATTGATAGGAGTCTGTGCACTATTCAAACGAAATTATGTTTCCCAAGATTTGATTTATCGTGCTTAGTGCACTGCTTAGCTATAAAGTTATATATGTACGGAGGCGGTTAACACTGACATCGTACTACCAAATTGATAGGATTAATTACGTAAGGTGTCCATTACAAAATAATAAACTAACAAAAACTCTAACGATACGCTACAATTATCTAAGATTTATTGTATTTTGCATGGCTAATGAGGTAAAAAATACTGTTGGGGAATATGTCATCTCATATGTCCAATTATTTGCAGTTAACTATGAAAATATACAGCACTGTCGTACGAGTGTTAGTAAACGGACAGGTTTTTTGGTAAAATAATTTAATAACTTTAATAAAAATATTTATTTTTTTTACCGAAATAATAAATATAATAAAAATAATATAACTGAGTAGATAAATACATAAATACTTAAACATAGACATAGACAACATAAACAGTCCAATGTAAATTTAATATAATAATAATTTAACCGTCCACAGATAAAAAACCGTCAAATTTGAAACCCGTTTAAATTTGACGGTTTTTTATCTGTGGACGGTTGTTCGTGACCAGGACAGAATACCGATATTTAGATTTCCAGGCGTGATCGAACCCACCATCGTTGGTCATTAGCCACATATAGCTACTACCATTACACCAACGAGCTTGTCAGAGTTGTTTATATTAATTTAGTAAGAATGTTAAAAGTCATTTAGTATATTTAATTCAATCGTCATCTTATTTAATCGAGCGTTAATTTCTATTACAGCTATAAGGATAAAGAGAACACTTTCTGGTTTTGGCACATGCGATCTCACAATTAATCTCCGCTAGAAAGGGTTTAAAGAAGAAAAAATACGCAATTAGTGAACATTTTTTTTCATTAAATTTCATTATGAACTTTTTTCAACGGGTGTTTATGAATCGTCATAGCGTTTTGAGGCAATTCCATTATCTAGAGTGCTCTCAACAGGTAATAACTGGCACTCGACGGCGAGTGATACAAATCTGGATTTCATTTCGACTGCGATATGCTACCGGATGATGTCAGAATGTTGCGTCAATTGATAAACTATATGCACTACTAAAACAACGAACGCTTTTGTTGTTTACCCGATGATGGCGAAGACTAAAAAGTTATATTTTTGTCAATTTTACTTATTTTCTTTTACTTTATTTTTAGTTAGAAAGTGAATTTTTTAACTTCTCCTTAACCTCCGTTGACCCAGGGTTGCTCTGATATCGGAAGCTCCGTGACCACAGCTGCAGCAAAGCATCCGAAACGCCGGACCGTAGTAAAATAAATTATATAAATATGTTAGTAAGAACTACAATAATAAAAACTAATATATTTCCCGTTTGAAACTATTAAAAGCGTTTTCTATAAAAGTGTGCTTGCGTAAAATACAGACAATGCGTAAATTCCACTCTAGCACGAAATAAAATTAGACTATTTAATTTCATGGAAACTATTCATATTCAATAGGATTATAATTTTGCATACTTTTTAAAAACGATTGGCCTCGACATAATATGACAGGCAAACCGACCGTTGCTATGTGTATTTCGCGTTCTAAAATGTTTAATGTGTGTTATTTAAATATCTATCTCACAAAACTGCATCACATTACATACAGATATAATGAATGTTCAAAGCACTTAACAATGTGAATACTATGTGCATTTCATAGAACCAAAGTCACGAAGTTATCAAAGAAAAACAAGATTCTAAGGTGATTCTATTCAGAAATTCAGGCATTGAAACAGATGTCGAATTCAAAATATAGGAGTCTGCATTTTAGTTGATGTAACTTCGACTTGTTAGACTGGCTGATATGCTCATACTGCTTAATTATGTATCTTTAATATCAGTTGCAATCTCGGCATATTCGCTCGTTTGCAATAATAAAGCACATACACAATTCTACATTCACAGAAACGTTTAATACTAAATTATTGCTCAAACGGAATTTTTCATTTTCAAATAGCCTCGCATGACAATACAATGTAATAAAGAAAATAAAATAAGTATATTTAGAAATATCTTGCAATTTAAAATGGTATTGGATCTTTATTTTATTTAAGCGTATGGACAATTTTAATCGTTTATCTAAAATATATTGTGATACTAATCATACACGATGACAATACATTAATACATTTGTTTTTAAACTTGACGCACCATTTAATAAAAGAGAACGATCGCCTTCGTCATACGAGAGACTGCCAAAAGTGCATTGCGGAGGCTAGTTCGGAAGTTACTGTAAGGCTCAACAAGTATCGTTTGAAATGAAGATTTTCCTACAAGCTACGAGTTCTACGCCGTAGCACTCTGGGACTTATATGGTTACGATATTAAATATTATTCCTTATCTGTGCTAGATTTCGTATTGAAATTATAATTTATATATAGGTATTTACTCAAATACACAAATATAAAATTCTAATTTAGAATCTTTACCCTTTAGAGGATTAAATAATTCACATTTTCAAGTAAGGTTTTAGATTTTATTTTTCAATGCAACCACTATCTATTATTGTGGAAACAATGATTCGACTTTACCTTCGAAATAAATATATATTTAAAATATGTTTAAGTCTTTTCTAACACAAATTAAATGTAATAGCCGTAATAAGTAATAAGACTTTTAATTACGAAAATAAATTACATATTAATACAAAATTAGAAGTTTCATAAAAAGGTCTGATAAGTTATTTAAGTCATAACGGATTATGGATACTTGCATTTATAGTTAGCCTTACTACAGTGCCATTGTAGTTAGGCTCAAAGCTTTGTTCCTTAAATGTCACATCTCGCGAATTAAATAAACTTTCCGATTTGCGTTGGATGGTTCATGTTGAAATTGGGAAAGTTGACTAATGAAACCCCAATGTAGCTGTCACAACATCGGGAATTGATTGTGGAGAAATAGATACGATGTCCCGTCATCCGAAAAGTTTAGGGACTCTGTTCATACTCGGCCAGCAGTAATTGAAAGTATTGTGCGATTCTCGTTCCTCGTCTCGACAGAGAACAGTGTTTGATTTTTTTGAGGTTTTTACGAAATTATATTATATTATATTATATTATATTATATTATATTATATTATATTATATTATATTATATTATATTATATTATATTATATTATATTATATTATATTATATTATATTATATTATATTATATTATATTATATTATATTATATTATATTATATTATATTATATTATATTATATATGAAATATTTTTCAAGACATTTTAAAATTAAATTTTTTGTTATATTTGTTGTTATATTAATTTTTAATGACATGAATTAAGACTACACTTACTTTTTTATTCAGTTCACTATATTTTAGCTAACTTCAAAGAATAATGTATTTTGCGGTGTAAGACCGTGTTGTCTAGTATTGTCTTCTAACTTAGCTAATAAAGCAAGGTTCTATTTTCATTTCGGCATTTGAGGCTCTTTGGGAAGAGAAATCTTGAATTGTAGAAGAACAATCAGGTATATCGCTATCATGCTGATAGCCTGAAACAAAATAAATAGAGATACTTTAATTTTATTTATATATCTTGGTTAAGTTAGTGAAATCCCATTTTCCCCTGAGGGGCATGGGACAAACACATTTCTGTGTCCGTTTCATTAATCAGTTTTTTTTACGGGCCAGTAGTTTATCAGACTTTTATGCACTGCCCGACCGGACCAAACGATGATTTTCCCGGGAGTCAACCTACGAGCTTAGGCAACACAACCATTTGCTGGTTTAGCTAGCAGCGGCGATCTTGGCCCGGAGGAAATTTCAATATTCCTACCACCCATTTATATCCTGTCCAACATGTTTCAGAAAAATTGTAAATTGTTTAGAAACATATTTGACGTTGTGGGGACCGAATGCCAAACACTAGACCTACGAACCGGTAAAAAATATAATAATATAATATACAGATGTCAATAACTCCCTGTTGACGTAAGCGTATCCCTTCAAACTGACCACGGCCGGGTTCATCTCAATGGCTTGGATGAAGTGATCGATCTGTAAGGATTAGACATTTGAAATATTGCATTTCCTGCGATTAAACGCGAGTACTTACATAGGGCTGCATTTATACATTATTGCGATACGATAATACTAACGAAGAATTACACCGTTTTAAAGAATTGCCACGCAATCGTCAAATACTCGAGATAGACATACAAGATTAGTTTGTCTGTTATATTGTCTGTAGACGCGAGTAATACATATTTAAATAAAATATTGTTAACGGGTATAGTTAAATTTTTCATTATTTTATTTTGACTCGCCTAACGTTTCGAATTCTTTGAGCAGCCGGGGTTACGGTGTTAATTTTCAACTAAAATCACACTCGGCTGTATTGTATATCTGTAAATTAATTTACACTAAAACAAGATGTTCTTAATACCTCTTTTTGCGTTGGTCTATCCACCGATAATACGTCTATAGATAACAGAGTATCTTGTACGCCAGCTGCCACCTAAAATTCCAATAAAAGCTTACAATCGTAAGTATTTTAAGTAAGTAACTATATATGTAAAAAAGATCATATGTTTTTCAATTTAACAAAACTCAGAAACGACACTGTAGCTCAATCGGTGAAAGCAGCACGGTCCGCTATGGATGCTGGTTGTACCCACCCGTGTAGTCATTTTTTTAAATTTAAAACGTAAATAATGACAATGGATGATACTGACACAGAGATTTATATGCTCTAACGTTTGAGCAGTTTAAAGTATAAAATTAAAGTAGTACGTCTAGGCTAGAATGTAATTATAAATTTTATAAGACTTTGACCATTTTTTAAAGCTTTTTGGTTTTTCAAGCTGTTTCGAACAATTGTCAATTATGACAATTGACATATATTCACAACGGTCGGCCATTACGAGAAATGAGCATAATCATAAGCGAATACCAAAAATTATTGCAACTTATTAAGTAAATACTGTCTATAGTTTACGTGAGTAGTACGCTTTTAAATAAACACTACTTTAACGGTAACTAATATATCGCGTTTGAGACCGTTAAAGTGTTTTATTTAAACTTATCAAGTAACTACTTGCAATAAATGAAAAAAAACTTACAGTAGTTACATATATTATACCTTAAGGGTAGATTTGTGCGAGCAATCGGCGAATATGAAAAGTAAAGTGGAACAATATGCTGCGTCCACGAACAAGCCCATCTCTTTGAAAGTAAAGCCGAAGCCATGATCCACAATTTCTGACAAAGCGCCGTATACGGCTATTGTGATATTGAAAAACCTAAAATAGAATAAGCCTCAATTCTGAAATCTCCTGTATTGCCTGTGTATGCTGTATATTGTTAATTGTGGATTTGACTATCGACTGTTAATTTTATCTGAAATACTTTCGTAAAAAGTAAATATTCAAAACTTGAAACGTCAAAAAATAGTAAATTGGAGATTTTTTGGATCCAATAAAATCATAAAACTTCTTTATGCCCGTTGCAAACGCAGTGGTTTTGAATTTAATTTTATTTTTATATTCCTGAAGTCTGGCGTTTAATTCATAAAGAATGTGTATTGGGTGAGTGAACTTATACGCAATTTATGCAAGTCGAAATAACTCCTAGTACAATACGTCAGGGTAAAATGTTTTTGCTGAAAGGTGCTGAGGTCAAAAATTTAAACTTATATGCTGCTAGCTGTGCCCGCGTCTTCGTTCGCGTAGAATAGTGACTTGGGGTAGAATACTGTTTATTAATTTATGTAATTGCGCATTTAACGCGGCCAATCTATGTTGTAAGTGCTACTTTGCCGAAACACTCTCACCTCACATCATTCCTACTCCAACTCCCACTCCTATTCCCAAAAAGCCAAAGAAGAAAGTTGCATTGTTCTAGCTTCAAAAACACGGTTTTTCCATACAAACTTTCACCCCCTCTTTTAACCCCTTATAACCCCCTTTTCGCAATAAAAAGCATGTCTTTTTCAGGATCTAGACCATCTGTGTACCAAATTTCATTCAAATCCATTCAGTAGTTTTGGCGTGGAAGAGTAACAGACAGACAGACAGAGTTACTTTCGCATTTATAATATTAGTAAGGATGGAAGGTAAGGTGTATTTCTTTAATTGCAAGATAGGTTCGAATGCAAGAAAAATTATAACAATCCCGGTAGGGTAGGAAGCAGAAATAAGATTTATAAACTATGTTGAAATTTAAGTAGGTTTTAATAAAATTAGTAATCGACTTATTATCGTCTCTGATTCATGTTGAGGAGTGGGAAACGTCATTGTTTATTGGTATATCCATTAAAGAAGAACTTATACACATACTTACATAAAGAGACAGTAAGTTGAATAAGTCCGTGCATAAGCATTGCCAAGTGACTGTAATAGTTCCGACAAATTTAACCATAAATAACGATAGCTTGATATCAATTGTGCCGTGCATTCTATATTTACATCCTGAAAGACACAAGTATCATTTAACGAAGTATTCTTCATTGGAATGCATATTATTTTAACTTTTTTTTGTTTAAATCCCGTTTTCCTCTTCGTGGAGCTTGAGGCGAACACATTTTTGTGTTCGTTTCACTGATCCGTTCTTTAACAGGCAAGTAGTGGATCAGACTTCTGTACCCTGCCAGACGGAAACAGTTTTTTGTTTCCCTGGGATTCGAACCCAGGACCTCTCGTACTTAACGCAATGCTAGGCAATACGTTTAACCACATGGCTACAGAGGCGGTCATTTCAACTTTAAGGCTACAATTTTAACCGCAATATATAAATTTGCAAAAATTGGTACACATACAGTACTTGTTACACTAATATTAAATGCATTACAAGTTTGTTGCTTAAGGATGTAAAGTAAATGAAACTTATATGGATGTATACAAAATATAAGACAGATGGTTTTTCTTCTTCGCGGAATAATCTGTTATGACGTAGCCTAAATAGGAAAGAAAATAGCAAAAGCTTTTACAATTTACGTAGTGTAAAGCTTCATATTTTCCTTATTTATATACGGAGCAAAGGTTATTGTATTTTACGGGTATAAATAGGTGCCTTTATTATTATTAAAATACTTTTACGTGTAACATACATATTCTACTACATAGAATAAAAAATCGATGGCAAGGGCGGGGATTCGAACCCACGACGTCTTCAGTACTCAAGACTACGTTCAGTGTGCTCCGTGTAATCGATTTTCATTAATTATTAGAATTTTAATTATAAATCAACGAAACGGTCTCCTAATAATTTAAAAGATATTACTTATAATCAGGGAGCTTTTGTCTATTTATTTAAGAATGAAAGCCTTCCTTTTGAGAGATATCTATTGAAGCAGAATTTCGTTCTTTAAAGGATAAAGACACGATCATTTTAGTCGCTTTGCTAAATAGCGAACACATTTGCATGTTTTCAATGTGCAAATGTGTTTTGTTATCGGTTGGTCAGAGGAAAATATTTTTACAGTGTTATTTGGTTATTCTAATTCGATTGTCATTTGTTTCATTTAAATTCTAATTCAAATGAAACACATGATGGAATTGTATTTTGCTTGTGCAGTAAAAAAGTGATTAAGATATATCGATTTATAATACCTACACAGAATATTTCGCAATGTATGGCGTTTAAATTAAGTAAGGTTTAATGTAATTAGCTACTAACTTAAATACTATTTATTTAACACAATAAGGCTGTGACAATATCTTATCTACTGATAATATAGTCGAGAGTACGTGAGAGATTTTCCACAAATGAATTCTCAAAATTTATCCAAATAATGACATTTAGATGCTACATCTTGCTTTTTATGGCAAAGTTTCAGCTAAACAATGAAGTACAAATATGTACTTATTTCTTTCTTAGAATTAAACATATAGAAGTAACTCTTTACCAGTTGTCTGCTTTTCGTAGAAGCTGTTTTACGGTTGGTATTTTTTTAATATACTGCACAAACATCATATTGATTATTGTGTTAAAATAAAATAATTTTAATGGTATAAAACTCAAAAGGTATATTTGTTATTGTTTTAATTAGCTACTTTTAGTATTATAATTTAATTGGTCGCGTTTGAAAACGATTAGAGTGGTTTAAGTATTATCTGTAGTTTACGCGAAAACTACACATTTATATAAAACACTTTAAACGGGAGAAATGATTTTAACGACGGCCCGGTGTTTCGCATATATCTCACGATAACAATTGTAATCGAAATGTACGATCAATACAAAATGGAATTACCCTTCGCAAACATTCCGACAAACTTTGGGAGGCCGTTTTGATTCCTCTACAATTTATATACCAAAGGGCGCAGTTCATATTGATCATAGTTATAATATGATAATAGGCTGCCGTGTGTCTCAATAGGAACCCTTCCAACAAAGCACACAGACTCAACAGAAAACAAACCGCCAACAACAAACACCCAACACTTATTATCACAATAGTCGTCTTCAAATTTGGGAATTGGAGATTCTCCCCCGTAACTCGATAATACCTCACCTGAAATAAACAAAATAATAATTACAGAGGACAAGTTTGCATGAATAGAGGTTGCTTTAATGAAATTCGCTAGTTATGTTGTCTACGTTTACAATACAAACCTCAAGGACTTAAGCGTGAATTTGATACAGTGCCATCATTATGTTACACGCTTTCCGTTGAGTTTTGTAAAATGAGACGTTTCAAGATACGAAAATAAGTAATACACACGCAGACATATTTCTGTGTCTACTTCACTTGTCCGAAGAGGGGGAAATCTCGCACTTATGCTTTACATGATGCGTTTTGTTAATGTAACCATTACGGAACCATATTCCTTCTTTGTTTCATTAATAAAATTACTACCTTTTACTCCTATATAACTTAAATTTTTTTTTTTGGAATGTTGATAGACACAAAAAAATATTCATAAATCTCTAGTGATCAGGTTTAATATAAGATCCCTAATCTAATGAAAGACCTTAATGTTTTAGAAACTGGATCTTGTTATAATTTTTTACTTAATTATCATTTACATGGTTATTTAACTTCAAAATAGATTATAGGTATCGATCGTTGTCAAAACTTTGAACTGATGACAGTTGAACCAACTAAATAAAATTATGACGGTTTAAAACGCGACCTATTAGTTATTATATGTTAAACACAAAAGTTAAAAAAGTTAAATTTTCACGTTTTAATAGTATTGTATTCAATGTGTACAACTTACAACTGATATTTTTCATTAAACTTACTTGGAATTTTCCCCAACTCGTCTTATAAATAGCTACTTGATGTGCCACTCCCCAACCAACAAATGGTATCCAAAAATGCGGAACCAGAAACGCAACGAAGAGGACCGCGTAAATATAGTCGTCAAATTTCCTAATAGATCGCAGTATAAGTATTCTTTCGTATCCGACGTATAAAACAACGATCGTTGCTATTATGTAAAAGCAGATAGCGTAGACAGTAGCGCTTGACTTCCAGCTAAATGTTATTGTTCCTGTAAATTAAGATTATACAAGACTGAAATCCGCGGATTCTTCTACCTAATGTGAGTAAAGCTGCTGAAAGGGTTTTCAAAATAAACACAATAAATCGGCCGCTAGTTCAGATGTTGTATGGCTCGAATATTTCACCTTTCATCCCGGAACTCCAAGCTTGCCTGTCCTACTCTATCAAAAACGTTCATACTTTCTGTTCGATAACTATTAGAGTTATTACTTTTTTAATGCTAAAAGCATAGATTACTTATTCATCAATTCAACTTTTTTGGTTCTTGTTATAATATTTAAGAACAACAGATATAATAATAGGAAGATGATTGACAATACTTTTAATACGTCTAGTCTAAAATTTCTTATTTTTGTGTTGGTTGGACCATTTGTCAAGGAAGGCTGAACTATAAAAAACCAATCGGAGCGCAGAAACAGACGAAAATGTGAGAAACACGCCACTAATAATTACATTTAAGGTAACCAAAAACTATGTAGGTATAAAATAATTATTCTTCTTTATATAATCTTAAAATGTCCGCGACATTATATATCTATATTTGAAGATTAACTCGCAAGAACTGTCTTTTGGATTTTTTGCATACACTCTTATCTGAATTACTTCATATGGCTAAAGAGGTTTGTAATCTTTAGACGTATAGTGACAACAACAAAAGAACATACCTGGTCGTGAACGCGTTATAGGCATAACAGCGAGTGCTCTGAAAAGCACCAATAGCAGCTTATGGTCTCGATAGAACTGGTCATGGATTTCGCATGTATCGGCATCCTGAGACGAAAGCAGGTTGCGTTGGGCACGCTCCTAACAAGATAATTGTTGAATTTGAATATTAGAAATTCCTGTAGTGTTATATATTTAGAAATAATAGTTAATATTAAAACGAATAGACTGTGACCCATTAAATATAACAATAAATATAAATAATTAATGGAAATTTTATGTTGAGATATAATTTAAAGAAAAGCTAATATTAAGAAATATATATATATATAATAGTATATACAGAATTGGCAATATATTGTGCGGCAAGATGCAATCAAAGAAATTAATTTTAATTAGTTTATTCTACACAAGTTTGCCGCTAGATTAGAGTTCAGGACCAATGTGTGCACAAAAAAGGAATATAAAGGTTGTCCAGAAGATGTACGAGTACGGAATTGCTTTTATAGAACAGCAGTTTAAATAACTTTTACGTCATATGAGCGCTTATATAAAAAAGAACGGATATACGATAGTTTTTATGGTAGAGCAATAGCAACTATTAGTCGTGGGTTTGAGTCCCAGAAAGGTCGGCAGGAGAATGAAAAAAAAGCCCATCGAAATATTTTAAATAAATACTTACATAATCTCGCGGTGACATTTCGTAGATATCTTTATTTTTCTGCACATGTTTCATCTCATTTAGTAATAGGGAATTATTTATTCCCTCATCGAATAGATGATCTGGTATCATGATTATTTCTTATCTTGTTACCTACTTCAAGCAACGGTTACCCCTAAAATGACATAGCTATAACGAAATGTCAGCAGGATTAATGGATGTCGTTAGAAGCTAGTTTCAAAGAAGTTAACAAGTAAACATAAAGTGTAAATTTGAGGTAGTTCATTAAAATTTCAAGCTAATGATCGTCATGTCTTGCATTTAAAATGGATCGAGGCTCCGCAATGTTTATATTACGAGTTAATATTTAATGCTATGGCGGATCTTGACGGTATGACTAATGAAGGACCATCACCTCCAATTATATAATTAAACTTTTATAAAGCAAATATCCACAGACAAAAGAGATCGACGGTTCTTCTCGATCTGCTATTTCACCTACCATCAAGGGAGACCCATTCTTATCAGACCCCTCTATCATAAAAAAACCATGTATCGTGTTCAAACAGACACGCTAATTTCACAAAGCACTGCTCGGTTTTACTTGTAGTCTATAGTGTTGTGTGTCTAGTTTTAGTCAATTAGTAGATAATATAATAATAATAACGCGTTAGTTGGGCGGCAGGTATGTGTAATGTAATGGGAAAATTATTATAATCCACGGTTGACTGCGTATACACAGATTTACAAATATTTAAAGATAACAGATATAGAAATAAAAAAAAACGTAACAAAATTTTAACCGACAAGAAGAGACTCGAAATCCTAATACCACATTTGAAAAGATCGTAGTGTACTTTAATAGAAACGAAATTTCATAACAAATTATTTTTTATTAACACCAAGCAGAAAATTTTATTATTTCTATATTTACAAAAAAAGCACTTCAGCGTAAAAAGTACTGTACAATATGTAATTAACAACAATTTTCATAACTCTATGTGGACCTCAGCTTAGCAAGTTGTGCCATTATTTCTTTGTCGGCATCAGCTGTCGATTCTCCAATTTTATTTCGACCTACGGAAGGTGCGTTCGCCATCTAAATAGAAAAAAACAGATATTTAATGTTTCAAAATCAAATGAGATTACAAGCATTATTTATTTAAATATCACAATTATTAAATTATGCCTTTATCGACCCTTCCTTCACCTTTAAAAAGCAGTATATTGTATGCAATAGTATTTTATCCTTTTATACTTAAACCTCAAGCCCAATGTAATTTCGACCTTAGCTACTCTTAAGTGTATGTGTTATTTTTTCAATCATTCCTTAATTATATACGTTCTCATGTGAAAATAAAATATCCAAAAAACCAAAACTTCGAAATATCACCTGACTTTTTATGCCTTAAAATTTTAAGTCAGTCTTTTAATATGAAGGTAATTAAAACAATAAATACCTTTCCACTGACTTCAATGCCAATTTCATCCAGAACCTGGTTAATGATTCCTTCAGTTTCCTCCTCATCACCAGATTCATTCATTATATCATCTAGGGTATCTGAAACTAAAAAGGATTTTTTTTTAAATAACAATATTTTAGTTTTTTTAAGTACTGCAACACATTTTTACTATAGAGGACAATGCAAAATGAAAACGAAAGTCAATTTTGACACAACTTTTCTTCGTCCCCGTTTGAAATCAAATTAACTGTGTGTGTTAGTAGTAGTAGTAGCTATCTATACTAATATATAAAGCTAAAAAGTTTGTTTGTATGTTCGCAACGCCTGATCTCAGGAACTACTAGTTCGAATTAAAAAAATATTCATATGTTTGTTAGAGCATTTATTGAGGAAGAGGTATAAGCTAAAACGTCGCACTGTGACGAAGTGAAGATACAGCAAAAAAAATGTGAAAAAATAGGAATTATTCATTATTATGGGTTCCCGAGGATTACGCTGCAAAAATGGTTCAAGATACCCAAAAAATATGTATAAAAAAATGATTCCTCTTGCTCTAAGTCCGCGGCGCTATGTATTTTTATTTAAGATTAACTTACAAGAACGACGGGATGTAACGCGATCGGTATCGTGGGTAGCAGATACATATGAAGGTGTTTACAAAAACAAATTTGCCCAAAATAACGCCTCTCACAGACGACGTCGGTGATACTAGTAATAAGATAACTTCAGACTAGCAAAGGACTTACTCATTTCATCTGTCATATCCATCTTAGCACTAGCATGTTTGAATGCATCCATATCTTTGGCTATCTGCTGTGGATTCATTACTTTATTCATATTGCCCATGGTTCTTGCTGTAGTTCCCATAGCACCCGCTATGGCTATATTGGCACCCATAGCTTTATTGTGAATTTGTACACTAGATATCTAAAAGTAAATGGATTTTGTATATATCTATAAACTGTGTGTTATTTTTGTAACATAATACCAACATTATAGGTACCTAACTTATGAGTTATTTAAGAATGAAATGGACTACATTATTTTATATATTTAGAATTAACTATTGTATAATTTCAAGGTAATTTCTAGTTATATTGTTTTATGAATGACAGTTATAAGGAACCATTTGAATTTAAGCGTTTACATACCCCTCCACTCTGAGGCTGTATCAAAATACCACCTCTTTTTATAACAATTGTTAACTGAGTACAAGTTGTGGGCTTAGATAGTTATTTAATATCCTTGTTACTTACTTTACTATTTGCAGAATATATTCTTGTCTTTTGATTTCTTAATTGAACCAGTTGCTTAGCAAGAATTTTGCAGCCTGCATTATTGCCCTCCTTTGCCATCTTTTTTATTTCCATTTCCTGAAAATTTGTATATTAAAAATTGTATATTTATATATTATAAAGTGTAAAATTAACAGTACTAAGATAATCTTATAAAATATTCAAGATTATTTTATAACTAAAGAAATTTCATGGGAGTAAGGGTCAATTTTAACAAAAACAATCAGGTAAGGTGTTTTACTATTGGTGTTACATGTAGGTAAATACCATCCACTCTAGATGGATGCCATTACAATTGATAGTGTATTAACTAATCAGCTCAAATAGAAGTACATACATACCAGCTTCTTCTCCTCTCTTTCAAGGGCGGCTTTATCCCTTTCTAAATCTCTGCTTGCTTTTCGTAATTCACGATCATTTTGCCTTTGTTGTTCTGCAAATTTTGATTATCTGACGTAAATTGTGACCATTGTAAGGAGATCGAAAGCAGTTTAATACGGTTTATGATTACATACCTTTAACGGTTGGGGCTTTCTTGAAGAAATTCATGTTGTATACAAATAAGTGTTTGAACGAACCAAAGAAAACTTAAGTACAAAACTAAAATATGACGAAATTCACTTAACAATGAGTCATTTATTACTAAAACTCATTTAAAGTCGCTACAAAAGTCCGCTACGTATAACTTTTCTCAGACAATAGAATAAAATAATTCCAACAATTTAATAAAAAAAAGGATTAGGCGTATTGAATTGTTTAATTAGATATGATTCATAAATTGTATTTAGTAAACAACAATCAATAGCTCTTCAGCCGTTTTAGGTAACTTGACACATTTAATGTCAATTGTCAGTCGCTTTACAGTCAAATTAACACTAGTGTCCATAGTCTGTGCAATAAAAAAAGGATAAAAAATGCAGCTTGATAACTGTTACAAACGACTGATTTTTTTGAAATTGTAAAGATATTTTATTATAATAAAAGGGAAGAAAGTGTTCAAGGGCCTAATGAACGTTATATTTGCTTAGTTTATAAAAAAAACTTGTATGTTTATAACGGAATTCAATTAGGATGTAAAATATGAATAAAACCAAGTTTTATTATGTTCAGTCACTTCATTTTTATTACATATTAATGTTTTAACAAATGTAAAATACGGTATATTTATCTAAAAACATTCAATGGACAGACAGAAAGAAGACTATACTTTATACATTAAAATATATTTATTGTTTAAGGGACATTCTCACGATGTGGAAATAAAATTAAATAATTTAAGACTAAGACGCACTAAACATGTAAACTGTTTTATGTAGATGTTAGATAGCTATTGGAAGACAATTATTATAAGATTTGGACGGACTTGGATTATGTACTACCATATTACAGAGTTACAATAATGGTCATCAAACAATATGAATTTATTTCTATTTTATAGAGATTTACCAAGACCAATCGGGGGCGTATGGGCCAAAGTTCCAGATATCAGGAAGGCCTTCGTGTGGATTCTTAATGAAATCGCTATCAGACCATTGAAATGGTTTGACTACGTCTTTGTTGCGTAATTTTAAGTTTTCCTCTTCCTCTTCTTGACGTCTTTGCTTCACAAGGTTTCTTATTTCAATTCCATTAAGCATGGGGACATCATCAAACTTGTCGGTATAAATAGAGGCTACATTGCCTTTGTTGATTGGTATATGCATAATATGCGGCTCAGTAAATGGTGGACTCGATATCGCAGCGAAATGTAACGTAGAGTTGTTTGTAATACCTGAAAAAAGTAAATAAACCATTTAAATTAAAAATATGCAAGAGTCAGGTAACTTACTTTTTCTAGTATATAATGCGATAGTAAAGTTTAAAAGGGTTGTATTGTAATTATGTTTATAGCTCTTACACGAAGCTGAAGCTGCGAGACTAATAAGAATTTTTAAATAAGGATGTCATTTTTGAAGTGGTGAAAATAATAACTTCTTTGGGAGATTAAACACTATATTTTGTTTAACTCTTGGTTAAATTAGACAAGTAACAAACAAGTTGATTAATTTAAGCTCTCTCTTCTATCATATTGAGACGCAGCCGCATTTATTAGTAAGTATATTAAGTTTGTATTTACTTAAATTCAACTTACCACTAACTACTTTTGTGTCAATGACCCCAAAAGCTTTCTTGAAGTTATCTACCAGATCCCCTCTAACGCCAGGCACAGAATAAGCTATCTCCGAATACAGACAATTCTTATTATCACAAATATTATCACTGGACATGTTCTTGGCTGTTATGTTGTTCAATCTCATGAGTTTGATTATGTTCTCTAGTGATGTAGCGTTCTTAAATCCTTGCTTAAATGTGACAGCTCTTGGAGCTTCCGTCTCCGAAAATATTTTACCAAAACGTTCTTCCATTTTAGAGATGTGAGTTATTTCTTGGATGTCCTAAAAGAAAAAAGATATTTACAAACATGCAATATATTTTTGTTTTTACGGCATATAACCGCTATCGTTATTAGCGTTATCAGAATCGACGTAGCCATGTCGCCAAAAAATGTGGGATTGTACAACCGTAACTTAAATAAAACACTTTAAACTGTTTAAAACGCAATATGCATAATTAACTGAGATGCTTTGCAGCAGCAGTCTTCCCATGACCAAACCTTTCTCCAGCTGGTTAGCTTGTATGCCGCATTAACTCACCTTGAAATGTGGTAAGCCGTATGTAGCCCAGTACGTTCTTTTCAGAAGTGCATCAGAGAGATCTGCAGAATGCGTGCGTCCAGGTACCTGTTCTATCAGCCAAAAGAGACCTTTCGTTTGTCCTCTTCCAGGGCGATGTACCACTGTGTGTCTTGTGTCACTGTTAAGTTGTAGAAAAGGGAAATTATAAAAATATATCGGTCGCTTATGACTAAATAATCACAGTTCTATTTATATTACTATGTTGAAATACTACCTATATTTATTATCTTTATGACCTAAAAGTAGGATTACTCACTTGCTAATAATCTCTGTAACATACTCTTTCTTGTCTTCCGCTTCTTCTTGTGTATAATGCAATTGATCAAATTTGTCAAAGTCCACGGCGAGCCACTGTTTGCAGGCAGTACCGGAGTTACTAGCTGCCAACATATGACCCCACGAGCTGACATTTGTGGCTAGGTGGTTAGCAGCATGGATACGAGGGCCTATTGGTAACTGTAATCAAGAGGACAATGATATTATTGTAATTTCAACCATCGAATAATCAAATAGCGTTTATGGTTTTCTTTTACAATTTTAAATGCCAACGTTCAACGTCCAAGCTAGGGCGGATCCAGCTTTGGGGCCAGGAGAAGGTCGCATAGTCATGGTCAAGACAAGAACTTGTATGTAGTTTAATTTTAATAACAATCGATAATAAGTAGGTATTTTATTAATGTTAGTACGTACACTTCCAAATACCCATTCTTAATAGTACACTTGAAGAATTTAACACAAATTTGAATAAAATCAATATGACCTATTAGTGGTTCACCCAAGGCTTAGAATCTTGGATCCGCCGTTTCGCCCAAATCATAAAGATATTGCAAAAACACTAAACGTAGTGTTGTGTTAGATATATATATCTATAAAAGAATTAACGAATACTTTCACTTGGATCTGGTTTTCTAGGCACGCTTAGTTACCGCATCGTTAAGTATCAGACAAATATACAAGAAGGGTTAAAATTTTACCAATGTGTATCTAAATGTCATTGTAATTTAATAAATGTTTAAAAGACCGGTACCGTAAGTGTACAATGCGATCGTTGTTAGTCTGAGTACGTAATTTATACAAAACAATGGCAATAATTATGATCGTAACAGGAAATAACAACTCACTTGTTCTGTTATGTTAACATCCTTCCACAACTTGGTATTGTAGTTCTTTATTGTGGTGCCAGATACTGCTATCCTATGGTTTGAGCCTCTTATTACATAGAATTCATCTTGACTGGTTATAGACCCGGGATAACTTGAGAAGTCTATTGTCTCCCCGGGCGCTAATGTAGCGTCCTTTGATGTGGTATGGTAGTTTAATTTGTATCTTTTCATTATACGTGTCATCGATGAATAACTGTAAATAATATTTCACAATTTATAAATAAATAAAGTATATGCATTTCAATTTACCACGAATATTACTATAAACATTGTATACATCAGTGTCTGTATAGGCATAAGCATACCAATTTATAAAAGTATATTTTGAAAGTAATAAGTTCAGAGACACAAATTCCATTTGGAATTAACGACTACTTTACTATTATTTATTAGATTTACGTGTCTATATCTATACTAATCTTTAACGAAACCATAGATTTAAATCATTCGTCGTTTACTTAATTTGTAGAAAAGACAAGAAGTCGTATCTAACGTCTTCGATTGAAACAATTTATCATAATAATGGGGTTTGAATCCGAAGCTTACGTTTTACAATTGAGCCACAATAAAATATTTAAATAAAACACTTTAACGTTTTAAAACGCGATATATTAGTTAAACTTATTTGGTCAGTCTCTCCATGACCACGGCTGCTGCAAAGCGTCCGAAACATCGGGCCAAAGTTAAAAATCATTTTCAAATAAGTTTAACTAATATATCGCGTTTTAACCGTTAAAGTGGTTTTATTTAAATGTGCACTACTCGCGTAAACTACAGACCGTATACAATAAAATACTTAATATTACCTTCCCGCTGCATTCTGTGCCATAAAAAGTCTCTTTGCTGTTTCATCATCTGTATCATTAATTATTCTTAAGAAAGCACTTGATAATCCCGGCAGCACATTAACAGCAGGGTCCTCTAATGAAATATTTAATTTTTCCTGAATTTCCGGGACTTCAGATATTGAATTCAGCCAATAAAGATCAGATATGTCCGTTTCGTATTCGTTTTGACTGCGTTCCACTCCATGCTTCCAACCAGTGAAGACGCCTCGAATTTGTGTGTAATATAACGATACCTGTTTAAAAAAAAGAGGAATTATAATTTAAAAAATACCGGTAAATATAGACATAAAAATATTATTATCAAATTATTCGGCTTATATTAATCAAACAAAGAATATGAAAGAGTGGGAATGATTGCAAACAGTAATTTAACGGTGTAAGAGCAACAGCACGGAACGCCGACGATGCCGGTTCAAGTCCTGCCCGAGTCGAATTTTTTTTTTTCAATTTATTTTCGATTTTTATTTTATAGTGCCTTCATTTTATATGGTCCTTGATGAAACAATGGCTTTAATCTTTTATCTTTCAGGCACAAGACTAAAAAAAGAACAGCAAGGCACAAACATTTTCTTCTGTGCCCCTTCTATTTATCCATTATATTAGTTGACCGCCTCTGTAGAAAAATGGTTTAGCGTATAGCGTTAAGCGCGCGAGGTCCTGGGCTCGAATCCCAAAGAAACAGAAAATTGTTTCGGTCGGGCAGGGCACACAAGTCTGATCACCTACTTGTCTGTTAAAAGAACGGATCAATGAAACGGATCACAGAAATGTGTTTGTCCCATGCCCCACGAGGGGGAAACAGGATTTCACACATTAGTTGCCAGGTCAGATGCCTGTGACCTGCGATTCTTCTGAGCCCAGCCGAATCCCATCATGTTTCCTTAGGTTTCGCTTAACACATATCGTTTTGTGCGTGGTAAAAAATAAACAAAAGACACACCTTCATAAGATCCGTCAAAGATACAATTAAATTTTACTCACATGATGCCAAAACGGATCCGTGGCACCTCTATCCGCGGCATAACTCTTCCACATGTTGGCTGACTTATCCAAAGCATCTCTCAACTTATCGCATTGTTTCTCAATAGGACGGTCCTCACATTTAGCTCGAATGGTGTTTTCCAGGTGTGTATGGATCAAGTACCAAGTCAGCGCTCCCTCAACGATGCCTGCTGCATAAGCTTGGACCTCGTCAGGATATGAGCTATTGGTTTCTACTTCGAGTAAGGACCAGCTGTAAGGTAATATTGAGTAAGGTGAGACTTTGAAAGTTTTAGTATTTTTTACTTATTTTGCAACCTGATAGCACAATACAAGTTAAAAATTGATAGTAGATTGGAAAAAATTAAAAAAAGATCGACGAACACGTGTAGGGCATGAACTGCTGTGTTCAAATTTTTCAACCTTTAATCGAGTGTTAATTCAGGTTGTTCTGTTGTAATTAATTTTTAAATAAAAATATATTTAGCTGTAATACATTATTTTTTATTTAATACATTATTTTTTTATTCCACTTGTCAATATATACCTACACCTAGTATATAATGAGGTAAATTTTCTGTATATAATCTGGGACAAAACGTTTTTAAGCTGAACTTTGTGAATATAAATTTAAAATTTTAACGTGAATTATTTTTACGTAAACTGCATTTGTAAACATATGACACCCTGGATTTGCGATCACTGTTTATCTTGAGATAGTAACTGTAACTGTACTTTGTGGATAAACGAGGATTCGACGAGGTATATGTAAATATTATATTTTAGGTATAAAATATGTAAATATTTTTTGCCGGTTACAAGGATTATAGGGGCTGGTTCGAGTTACGGATTAAATGCATAAATGACTTTCTCTGTCTGCCAGTCTGATTAATTATAAAAACATTCAATAAAAAAAAACAGATTATGATATTATATGAGTGTATATTCTTGTGCATACCCAGTTGTGTCGATGTCTCCTCTAAAATAAGCCCGAGCTACTCCTTTTGGTATGTCGTTAAGATCGTTACTTTGTCCCCAAAATTCAATGCTGTACCCAGTTTTTTCGGAGTAAAATACAGTTGCAGTGTAATTTCCGTCTTCCTGAATCCTGAAAAGAAGTAAGCAAATCAGCTGCTACGACAAATACAAGAGTGATTTTTATCTCAAAAATAAATAATTAAAATAGTAAATTGACGCGTTAATTTCTGGTAAAGAAATGTACATTTTATCATCAACTTCACCAATGTTAACTATATTAGCATACACCTTCAAAATAATAATATTTAAGGTCACAATACGTAACATATTTGGAAGATTGTATACACGTCACACTATTTACATAGCAACGTAACACATCTTATACCGCGTAAGATAAAAAAAATTGAGCAAACATCAAATATTCCTTATTGAACGTAGATGACGTTGTAACATCACATAAAATGTCTGTAAAAATATTTGCTCGGAGGAATCATTCTTTTGAAAAATAAAATAAATTCGATACTTCTAAAGAACTCTATGTTTAAGACAATGAAGCCTATGGAACTATTTCTCGACTACGTTAGAATATCGCGTTTTTAAAAATTTTTGGCTTTAAATTATCGCCACTATTATTTCTATATCAAATATCTATTTCTTCTTTTGTGCGACATTATTTTAAATTACTTACAACTTATTAAAATTTGCTAGGCTCTCTAGGCTTATCTTTGTCTACTCCGTCATATGTTAAAAAGATATAAGAATGCCCGGAAGACATAGAGTAACCGCGACACGACCATTAACTAAGAATAAATTATCCTCAGTAATAAGAGAATCGCAGATTGTCCGATCTAATTTTAATTAGTTTAATGCATATCTCAACTAGGACTTAACTAAAAAGTCGTCCTAAAAACCTGAATGATGACCTAAATTACGTAGATTTTTGAGTTTATATTGTTAAGGTAGTGAACCTAAATTAATTGAACTATTATTTGATTGTATTTCGACCGTCCCTAGTTTCTTTACAAGTTTTTGTTAAAATATTGTATAAGTAATGCAACAAGTAGACTAATACGCGATTTTGAATAGCCAGTACCAACCTTTCAATTTGTCCAGCAAACAGAGCCAATATAGCGAGAATTCCCAAAAACCCAAGGATATAAGAACTAATTTTCGTCTGGAGCCAGGAGGCGCCGACGACTTTCAGTATCTTCGTCATGATTATACAATTAAAAGGCTATAAAATGAAGAAGATGTTAAGGAACTTAATAATAATGAAGTGACAGTGCGTGTAGATAATTTTCTCCAGAGGGAGAGCGACCATCAAAGATGTTAGTACGACGCGTTTTCACGGTGTCTTCTCGCCGCTCGTGGTGTGCGGAACCCACATTGGATATCGATGTAATGATTTTGTGCTTTGTCACACGGCTTTTTCTTTTTTATCTTTAACCCTGAAACAATGGATAAGAATTAATATATTAAATTGTTTAAAATATTTTTGTGTTGGTTAGAGCATATACCGAGGAAGGCTATAAAACCGCGACGAATAGTAGAAGAGCAACAAGACGTAGAAACAGCGGGATGTGTGGAAAAAAACGGGAAAATTGTTCGTCCTTGTGGATTTCCATTGCGTACGCTTCGAACAGTGTTCAAAATACCCGGAAAATATGCATGAAAGAATTTCTATCCGCGGTAGTATATGTCTATCTTTAAGATGAACTTGCAAGAACCACGGGAAGCAGACGACAGTCTATATAATACGATATAAGCAGAGCTTGAAAATTACAGAGTTGAACAGGAGTATTAAAAAAACTTTGAATTAATTTTGATGTCCAAAACAACTATTCCACGCAGACAAAGTCGCTGAAACAATTAGTCTATAATAAACGTACTACATATCTACTTTAAATATTATAAATATTCTTCCGATAGAAATTGATGCACGGTCCACAATAGTGAAAGGACAGTGTTATTTTCATATACCTATGTTATTTTCTATAACCTTTATCAATATAGTTTGATTTGTGGAGAAATACTTATATTTAGACAAAAGTTATCTAGGAAACAAAAGCTATATATGGCGGTATTATTCAGTGTAAGACGAGACTAAGTACGGTTAATATAAATTCAAAGCAACTAATCGATTTTCTTTATAGTATACTTATTACTTAGTAATCCTTTTATAATTTTTCTCCTCCACAGTATATCGATTTCGTAAACAGTAGACACACACAGAAACTGTTCTGTTTTAACTTTTTGGACACATTGGATAAGCACAGCTCGTTCACTAAGTCCTTAGTTATTTTTACATAAAATGTTTTGTTCGAACGCTCTCCCAAACACTAACTAACAGGTAAACTCAGTAGTCTGATGACATTGTTATCAATGTATCAATAAAAGATACTCTAATGTTTAAGATTTGAGCTCTGTTTTATCTTTACTTATGTCACAATGTTACTATTATTGTTCGGAGAAGCCTGCCATCGCAATTAAGTATATATGAAATTAAATAAATAGGTATGTTCAACTTGGAATGTTGTGTTTTTAAGAATTTTTTAACTTTGTTCATTTGTATGTTTATGAAAATTTTAAACAATTATGATTGATATAGGTTATTTGAAAACACGAGAATATAAATTCAGTAACAGACAAAAGCGTATGAAAGTAATAGTGTTTACAGCTATATTTTTTAAATAATTTTTCTTATTACAAAATTTTGCCCGAAATAAATGTCATATTATAAACTAATTGAGAAATGTAATAAAAACTTTCTACCTTATTTTAAGTACTTAATTGGAACATACCGGTACAGATGTTAATTATATTTCAAGAATAGTTAATCCACTTCCACATATGTGACGCGGTCAGCCTAGCCCGTCTTTGCAAGTAAACTATCGCCAAGAAGCACAAAAGCCCATGACGACTGATATCAAATTATATGACTACACGTGGAACAAACAATTACTTATACCAGTCAGGGATATTCAGGCGAATTCGTATATTATATATATTTTTTATATAGACAATATAATAATAATAATACAAATCAAAAACCATAGTATAACGTATCCCGTGGTATACCTCCTCTGTAGCCAAATAATCGGCTAGGCGTGTTGCCTAGCATTGCGTTAAGCGCGAGAGGTCCGGTGTTCGAATCCCGAGGAAACAAAAGATTTCATTTGGGTACAGAAGTGTAATCAATTAACTGTTGTAAATAAAACGGACATAGATTGGACGGGATTTCACTTTTTTCGAGTTTGACCGAAACTATTTATTATGTTTTAGGGGATCGAAGCTAGGACGTCTCGCGTTTTACTATTAAGCGGCGGAGACAAAGTGACAAATATTGCAGCTATAAGGAAGAACATGTATGCAAACAAAAACCAAACAGTTTTTGATACGATTTTATGGAGACAGGTTACAAATATGGCTTCAGCTTCAATTGTCGTGATAATTTATACATCTTCCGCGTCTATTTATACAGAAGCACCGCGAAGGACGATTCACGAGAAAATCTATTAGAATCTATTTGATACCAGTTAAACCCTACATGCAGTGTTTAGATAACGTTATACGGAAATATAGAGATTATTTATGTGAAAATGTAACAAGCGGGACGATAAAACTAATATTTTTAAACCTCTTGGTGTTTCGCCAAGAAGTACATTATGGGTATAAAACTTTAAGAGGTTTATGTATGTTCGTAAGTTTGTTTTACGCTAAGAATTTAATTTAAGCCTGTTGTTTTCGTTTGTTGGGGAATTCGAGGTATTATTTTGGCCGCGTTAAGAGGATTTGCGAAGCCTACATTCGCAGAACAAGAAAGAGTTATCGGCTTAATTTGTTGAATAATAAGCTGTTTTCCAACAGTTAATTAGGTTTTTGTGTTATGTATTAAAATACCGGCGATGTCGGTAAATTAAAATCATCTATTCAAATGTGTACTGCTAGCGTAAACTACAGACAGTATTTAAGTAAAAATAAGTCTTATTAAATGTGTTTCGATTTAAAACACGTTTTATTACAAGGAAATTAAACATAGAACGTATTCCTTGTTATAGATTTTGTAAATATTTAACAAAAGCATTTAGAATTAAATCGTGTTCTATCGCATTTTCGTGATGATAAAATAAGTAACAATCAAATACAATGTTTTAGTCCACATAAAGCGATGTTTTAGAACTACCGATGCCGACTTCCTTAATACCTTGTATACATATATGTATCATTGAAATGAGTAGTATAAATGTCAGAAGTATACTTATTTAACCAACCTTCATGCAGCACCACAATAACTAAACAAGGCTAAAAAGTAAGATATACAAAATAGTCAATATTTAATCCCTGGAGCATAATAAAACTATTTGTATTTTTATATAATTGTTCTCTTAGCTTTGAAATTACGCGAATTAGATGGTCGCGAAGTCGAAAAGTCATAGACAATTGTATATTTACCAGAAAAAAAAGATGCCTTTTCCTAAATATCAACATTTTTTTAAATTTACTTTCTAAGTGTTTAATATTTCTTTTATTTGTTAACAGATCTAATTAGTATATATTAAAAGTAAAATGTAACATAAACTTTAAAAATCGAATATAAATTGAAAAAAATTTCGACTCGGGCAGGACTTGAACCGGCATCGTCAGCGTTCCGTGCTATTGCTCTACCGAGTTTCTACATGTTATGTGCAATAACATGTAAAAAATATTAAAGTTTTCTAACATAAACTTGTCGTTCGTTATTATAAAAATTTAGTTCATTAAAATTAAGCAAAATTCAGACGAATAAATAATTTCAGATACATCTTCGACCACATTCGGTTCATGTCAAATTACGCCTTCGTTCCTCACATCGCAACTGTCAAGAGCAAAAGTATCTTTATCATCGTTTTTTCCTTTATCTACGCGTGTAGAGATTAACATTTATCATTGACCCCGGTAACAAGAGCCGCTTTGTGTCATCGCCGATGTGTTAGCGCCATGGTAACTAGGCCGTAGGTCAAGTTACAGGTGACGTTTACTCAGCTATTTAAAAATGCAACGCTTGTAAATGCAATTCGATACTGTCGTTTGCGTGTCACCGAGGAAGATCTTGAGATAATTATAAGATCTTTGGGAAATTTGCCTGTTCAGCGGCTAACACTTAAACGCATTGCTTAGCGTCATGTGCGAGAGGTAAAGAGTTCGAATCCGCAAAATAAATAGATTATACAAGAAAACTAGTTTGTAAATAAAAATTATCAGAAGTAAAGACAATATGTGTCTACCCCACATAGGGATACTGGGATTTGCCCTTAACGTATTTTCACGAAAATAAAGCTAAACTCATGTTCACAGTATTTTATCACAGATATATTATGTAGATAAACAAACAACATTTTTAGTTACATTCGATGTTAACGGAACGCTGCGATTGTGGGTTTCAAATTAAAATTAGTAATAACAACATAAAAGTAATCACAGAAATTTCGTTAGACTCATTGTAATTTCTTTTAAAATAGTATGTAATATGTTATTGGCCGTAAACTTGGGATATAATTACTTACCTTTTTTACAGGTTCTCTCTATCTACACATAGAGTGAAACAATTCAATTTGTGACAGTAAAAGGTTTCCCAGTACTCCAATACCTCAACAGATAACATTTAGCCTAAACACGTAACGCGTCTGTTCGAAATGCTCAAATTGAGTTCAGGAGCGAATATTATCATATCGAATTTGAAATTGCTAAGGACGTCCGAGAAATACGCAAACATTTCTCAAGTAAATCAATACAGACTGGAAGCCAATGCGTTCGCTTTTACGAATTTTATGATGATGTTCTCATGTAAAACATATTTTCGACGAGCGCATTATTTATCTCTTCGGAAAATATTATTGACGTGTTCAATCCAATGTAAATAAAGTTTATATCAAATTAACTTCCGGTTATATTTATAATCAATACGTACACGGATACATATTTGATATGAATATGTATTTTTATAATGTACATATGGCTTATTACTTATTAAATTTATAACATTTAAATGAGTATTTATCAGGTAAATCCTGGTCAATATGTAACATAACACAAGGTAAAATAGGTAGGCTGAGCAAGGTGAGCTTACATATGTTTGTACAAACTACATACAACAATACTATATCTATACTAGATAATACTGTGTAATCTGGACGTACTATTTTCTATAAAGGATTGAAATGACTCGTTTTTTTAGCGTTCAATCGAGATAGCATTACATTCGCTTTCAGTAATGACTTCTAACCAATATGCCCTGATATGTGAATAAAGGATAATATATAAATTCAAATAATATCAAATAAAAATGCTTATTCGAACGCTATATGCAGTTTTTTATTTAATTGATTGTATTTTGAGAGCCATATTTAGGTATTGTTTGTCATAGCTATGTTCCTTAATATGTAATAGTCTTAATTAATACACTGTTGTA